TTTTTTTTTTTTTTAATTGTCTTGTGACATTTGAGCCTTTCCAGCAGAGTTGGAGGCGCTCTAAGAAAACAGAAGTCAACTTCAGACCGGAGGACTAATGAATTTAGTTGCCTCAGAAACCACAGAGGCATTTTTCCAGGAGAAAGAGGGAGTGTGTTGTCTTTCTCAGACCGCTCTGGTTTGAATATAACGCCTGCAGCCAGTGTCAGCATTCTTATGGATTTTTTTTTTGCATCACTTTTGGATCACAGATCAGTTTTTGGTTCCATCCCCCCCGTATACGACACATTTGATTTCTTCTCCAAAGTTTCTGAGTGGATGAACATTTGTGGGGCTCATTCCCCCACTCCCCCCCCTTGCCTCGCGGCCCTCCTCATCAGTGTCACCTCTGCCTCAACAAGTCAATAGTGAGTCTGGACTAGAGCTGGCCCAGATCAGCAGATAACACTTCAGCATTGCACGGAAACTGGTTGGACAAGTTTAGAAGTTGGAGCAGAGGGCAGGGTAGTTTAACCCTGCCTGAAGGAGAACTCTGTTTTATTTTCCTCCCACTTGTCCTTTTGGAAGAAAGCAGTCACGCACAGAGAGTCACAGTGGCTGTTTGCTTCTTTGCTACTATGCTGAAGGAAAGCTGAGTTTGTTCTTCTCAGAGGAGGAAAGTCTGTGAATGGAAGGGAGAAACCAGAGTGGGAGATTAAGTGTAATTTATTGTTTCCTGGGCTAGAGCAAGCTGCGCCTTTTTTTTTTCTTCTCCCGCCTGAACTCTGAACCACTCAATGTGTGTGTAAAGTTTTCTCAGGAGCCATTGATTGGAGGTCAGGGCGGCATACACGAGGGTGAAAGGCAAGAACAGAGGGAGCGGCCAGATTACAGAGGACCAGAGTGCGCCGGGAAGGATCGCCGGGTCAATCCAAACAGACGACAAGGAGGGAAAGGTCATCGCAGAGACAACTTTTCATCCTTTTGCCTCAAATCTACCTTCAAGATCAACGCATCGTCACGCGGGTTCACATTTTTGACTGGGAACGTAGTTTAAAGCCAGGGCGGGTCAGTGTATGATCCACTCACGGGGCAGCAGGACTCTGAGAATATGGCCATGGTAAGCGGGGGATGGGGCAACCCCAACGGAGGACTGGAGGAGAAGGTCTACCTGCGCAGGGAAGAGGAGGAGGGCTCGCCCCACGCCGGAAGCAGCGATGTGGACATCGCCGACGAGGACAAGGCCTGCGTGCTGGACTGTGTGGTGTGCGGCGACAAGTCCAGCGGGAAGCATTACGGCGTGTTCACATGCGAGGGCTGCAAGAGCTTCTTCAAAAGGAGCATCCGACGCAACCTCAACTACTCCTGCAGGTAACTTGTTTAGTTAAGTCTCAAGAACGGATCAAATGTATCACATTTTTCTTGGTGGTGAGTGTCTTTTTTTTTTTTTTTTCCAAAGTTCCCGCAAATGGGAAGTTGACAGAAATTATTATTATTTTTTTTCCTTTTGCAGCCATATGTGCTTGTCATTTCCTCACCATCGAATGACATGCCGTACAAGTGTCACAAACAGCCCCGGCAAAAAGGAAAAACATGATCACCCTGAAGGTCAGGCATATGTCGCTGGATTGCCTGAGAAGCTCACCACTGACATTTTTCTTGCACTGGGGAAGTGCTGCAAACTCAATTCTCTGCTGAAGGCCTGGGGAATTCTCAGCCACATAACGTGGTTATTCCTTTTCTCGTCATAATACGCTAACCCTGAAAGGAATGCGTCTTTTTAATCAGCGTGTCACATCCAGGGCTGAAAGGAATGTTGCCAGTGCTCGTCTGCTGTAAAAGTCGACACAAGGGCGTGTAGGGCTGATGATTTACAAAGGTCACAGCCTTGAAGAGCTATTCAGACACGCCAGCTCGCACTTTTCACTCATCAGAAAGGTCCATGAGAGGAGGGGGGGAGGGGAGGGGGGGCATTCAACATGTGAATACAAAATGCTTATTGGAAAAGCGCTCCGAGCTGGAAGGTTTTCATCACCTTCCATTCACGTGTGTCACTGCAGATCAAACCGGGAATGCCAAATCGACCAGCACCATCGCAACCAGTGCCAGTTCTGTCGACTGAAGAAATGTTTCCGTGTTGGCATGCGCAAAGAAGGTTAGTTAAACACGTTTGCCACGAGGCTTTCACAACATGTTAGCAGGTCATCCTGAAAGCACTTCAAACTGGATGTGAAATGTTTGAAATGTGACAGAAAACTACACAAGACTAAATCAAATGGGGGAATCGTGGTAAATAGATCACCATAAACCTGGGTTAAAAAAAAAGAAAAAAAGACATGTAATTTACAGCACCTCTCAAGCTCCATCGGGCTGCACTGGGAGCGTCGATTTCAGATCTCTGAAGTCTGGGGCTTTGTTTGGACATTCACAGAGTTGTCCTGGAGCCACTCCTTTATTTTCTTGGCTGTGTGCTTTGGGTCATTGTCTCGTTGGAAGGTGAACCTTCACCTCAGTCTAAGGTCCTGGCCACTGTGGAGCAAGTTTTCATTCAGGGTGTCTCCGTACATGGCGACATTTGTTCTGTATTTCCCTCAATCTTCCTACCGCTGTAAAACATCCCCAGAGCCCGATGCTGCCAACATTGTGCATCACTTGGAGGGATGGGATTGGTCAGGTGATGAGCGGTGCCTGATCTCCTCCAAGCATTGCACCTGCCATTCACACCAAAGAGTTCAATCTTGTGTCTCATCAGCTCTACAGACACTTCCTTTCACTTCATGCTTGATTTGTGCTCTGACATGTCACCCGTGAGACCTTATATAGTGAGGTGTGTGCCTTTCCAAATCATGTCCACTCAACTGATTTCAAGTGGACTCCAATTAAGTTGTCGGAACCTCTCAAGGATGATCAGTGGAAACATGATGCACCTGAGATAAACTTTGAGCTTCATGGCAGAGGCCGTGGATACTTATCTACATGTGATTTCTTCATTTTAGAATTTTAAAGTAACTTTCTAAAAAATATGGCTTTTCGCGGCCATTATGGGATGTTGTGCGTAAAATGTTAAGGGGCCGAGGGGTGCGGTGGTGATGAATCTATAGTTGCTGATGGTGTAGTGGTACACTCGCCTGACTTGTATGCGGGCAGTCTCGGTGACGGTTTGAATTTTGGGTGTGAATGGTTATTTGTCTCTATATGTGCCCTGCGACTGACTGGCGACCAGTTCAGAGTGTAGTCTGCCTTCCGCCCAAAGTCACCCGGGATCGGTTTCAGCAACTCCCTCTGACCCTCTTCAGGATAAGCGGTGTTGAAAATGGATGGATGGATGAATCTATTATGTTTTCTAAAATAAAAGCTGGAAAAAGTGTAGCACCGTGAATACTTTACAGATTCGCTTTAGCCGAGATAGACAGACAGACAGACAGACAGACAGACAGATAGATAGATAGATAGATAGATCGCACCATGAATACTTTACAGATTCGCTTTAGCTGAGATAGACAGATAGACAGACAGACAGAGGGATGGATAGATAGATAGATAGATAGATAGATAGATAGATAGATAGATAGATAGATAGATAGATAGATAGATAGATAGATAGATAGATAGATAGATAGATAGATAGATAGATAGATAGATAGATAGATAGATAGATAATTTTCTGCGAAGTATGAAGGCAAGCAGTGACATTTGCCAGTGACCCAAGCTGAATATTTATACTTTCAACTGAGGGCATGTTTTCACCACGGTGCGCAACTCTGGCAGCTGCTGATCTTACGTGATAAGCAGGCGGCTGAAGGCAAGGGTATCATTTGAATAACAGGGGGAAAAGTGACTGTTCTCACAACATATTTGAACAGGCGGATGGAGGAAAAAAACAAAAAAAGAAACACTTTCCTGTTTTAATTATTCCTGTGTGAATACTTTCATTTCAGATTCATAACTTTACTGACGAGCATGTTAAAGTCTTGCAACTGCAGTGCACATGACTACCTCGGGTCTCCAAAGCTAATGCACACTAAGGAGTGACATGTAGCAGAGGTTATATTGGGCCTGGTTAGTAATGAGTGACTGTGGCAGTGACGCACGATGTGTTGCTCTTTCCACACTACCTGGAATTGTGGAGCTCAACTCTGGCCCAGTAAAAGTAGCATTAACTTTTGAAGAGATTATATATACCACTGCTTGATGAACTTAAAGGTGCGATACGTAGAAATTATTTACAGCATACTGAGAAAAACTCTGAGCCCCTGCTCGATGTGTTCTTGAGCAATTCTATAATGGCCTTACACAGTATAACTGTAAGGTCACTCAGTGGAGCGTAGACCCCCGCCGAGGCTTAACTGTTAACTACTGTGGACGAAAAACTCTTTATATTTGTCATCTGGAGGATTACCCCCCCCCACCCCCCCATAAAAAAAATGGTGCCGTTATGATTTCTGGAGGATGGACTGTTCAATTGTTTTGAATAAATTAAAAAAAAGGAAAAAAAATATTGCCTATTTATCTGGATCCACATGAAAATGGATTGTTACAGTTTGTGTAATTCATTTTGTGTGTGAGCCTGTTAATTTTTTTTGTTCAACTCTTTCTAAATGGCAGCTGTGACCAAGGCAACTAAAACAAAATAACTTAAGTTATTTATTATTTAGTTATGTATAACCCCCCAATTACTGTAGATACAGTATATTAAAAACAATGAATACACTGTACCGTTTTATGGTAATGCATAACAAGTGAAGTAATTGTAAGCTCTATCTGTAGTCTCATTTAATGAAAGGTTTGTATAGTAACATTGTTCGTAGCAATTACTTTTCAACGTAGCACTAAAATGAAAACAAAAATTTAAAAAACAGGAGTAACAACAGACAACCAAATCCACGAAGAACTGCAGCAAATCTCCACACACTGTTCTATTTGTGTGTTTGTAACTTGAGATCTCACCAAAGTCTCAAATTATGTCTTTTCTTCAATTTTGAAAAATACATTTTTCGTATCGACACAATAACATTAACAACGCAATTTCACTTGAGCAACGCTCACCAAGGTGCGGCATTGGAGATAAGGACCTTTTTCTTTTGTAGCGAGGGGCCTGAGCATAAACAAATGACCAGCTGAAAACAGTTCCAAATTGAAGATTAACAAAACGCATATATGAAATAAATGATTGGAACTTGATTGCTTCATTGCTATGTGTAATACGAACAGTACAAACTGTGGCATGCTCAGTTGCTACTGGCCTAGACTGACAGTAAAACTCACAGGGCCGTGCCGTGACCTTTGGAGGGGCAGGTGTTCAAAGTAAAAAAAAAAAAACGGGGCATGTGCAACTGATGGCGTTCTTGCACCTTCCACCCACTGGGGGTTCAAACCTGCACCACCATCTCACCGCCAGCCTGGATGCAGAGCTAAGACTGCTGAGCTAAAAGCCAGCAAAAGGCCACCCTTGAAAGCTCAGAAGAGTGAGCTTTTTACCAACGTATCCTCATACAGCTCCAGCTAAAATCTGTTACACATGGAACAAGAGTTTGAAACACCTTGCCCAAACATAACTTTCAGCATGACTCGTTGCACTGTGGACTGTACTTGTACAAGGCTGAAATGACAAATCTTTCATTTTGAACAAGCTGAATTGTAGCAGGCTATATTCACAATGAAATTTATATAAGACCACAACATACCATGTCACTGTGGTAGGGAGCAGTGCAAAGGGAAAGTAGTCTTGAGATTTATTTACCTGATGGGGTATGCAGAACAGCTTTTGAGGGGATTTGTGGAGAGACTGCTGCTGGAGGCGGGTTGATTTGGCCAGAGCATAGAAGCTACAAAAGAAAATGGGAGAATAGTTGGTTAGGCAAGTATCATATGATCACAACGTGTATTCGAAATGGCTCACTGTGAATAGCCCGCTGGACTTCTGACAGTTTGGAGCAGGGCTGGGCTTTGCAAAAGAGCAATGCTTGCTGAGGCCCAGCCAACATGCTAAGCTCAACTTTGTCTATATTACTTTGGATGTATTTAGAAAAAGCACATTGTGACATATATTGTCAAAGTGAATAATTAAAATCATTAAAATTACATCTTTACACTTTAAAAATGAGAACAATTTTGGACCAGTTTCTCAAGAGGGGTTGCCCACGGTGAGAGCCGCAGAGCAGGTGTGGACATACTTATTGTGCCTGTACATTGCGGTTAACCTCAGTGGATGAGAGGATACCCTTCCGCCGCCTTTGGGAGTGGGGAGGGGTCCTGACTGTTTGTGCCTCTGCATCAAACATCAGCTCTGAGTACACACCCTTTTGGGAGTCCTTGAAGGGTTAGGCAGAGAGCGCTCCCTCTGGGCACTTCCTTGTTCTGCTGGGGGACTTCAATGGTCACGTGGGCAATGACAGTGAAACCTGGAAGGGTGTGATTGGGATGAACGCCTCGCCCATCGATTAGAATCCGAGTGGTGTTCTGTTATTGGACTTCTGTGCTTATCATGGATTGTCGATAAAACACTATGTTCTAACATCAGTGTGTCCACATGGCACCAGGACACCTTTGGTTGCAGTTTGATGATAGACTTTATCGTCATGTCATCGGATTTGTGACCGCATGTTTCAAACACTCAGGTGAAGAGAGGGGAAGAGCCGTCAACTGATGACCACCTGGTGGTGTGTTGGCTCTGTTGGTGGAGGTAGATCTCGGTCCGACCTGGCACACCCAAACGCATTGTGAGGGTTCACTGGGAGCATCTGACAGAAAGAGTTTCAACTCCGACCTCGGGTTGAGCTTTTGCCCACGTCCTGGTGGGAGGCGGAGAACACTGAGTGAGTGAGAGATGTTGCGCACCTTTATTATTGAGGCAGCAGATCAGTTGTCGCCATAAGGTGGTCAATGTTAGGCTCTAACCGAACCGAATAATCTTTTAGGATGCCCCCCAAAAAATGCAGGCTCAGACAAAGTGTGATTACAAAAATATGTATTCAAGAAAATCGCACAGACATAGTATAAAATGAAATGGCTGGTCACAAGGTGCCAGGAAAATCAATGCTTCATACCAAAAGCGCTTGCAAAGGCAAGGTTCAAGAGAGCATCGAAAATACACAATAGAAAACATCCGATAACACAGAGCAATACTAGAGTAGCAAAAATACTTCCAAACATTTATGAACAAAAACGAGAGAGACTATGAATGATATCAAGAGGTCTAGAAAATGACACTTGAAGCACAACAGCAACCAAGGTCAACAAGGCGTAGCAGAAGTCAGAGTCCTTAAATACAAGGCTAGGCTTGATGGGGAAACGAGGCACGGGTGCATCTGCCGGAGGGAAACGTCCTTCGCTGGCACACAATCGAGACAGAACATGACAATGCCTGTCATGGTGGCACCCCCCGAATTTGCTGGTGGACAGCGGCGATAAGGGGTGCCTTCCAGGTGAAAGATAAGTCCTATTGGGCCTTTTTTGTCTGTGGGACTTCGGAGGCAGCTGATGGGTACCGTCTACCCCAGCTATAGTGCTCACAAACCCACCACCAGCCTCTCCGGGTTCATATTTACCTTCTTATGTTATCTATCTAAAATGTTATGTTATCTTATGTTTTTGAAGATTGACATATTGCGATTGGAATTCAACATGTTGTTCATCTTCAACCATGCACTTCCATTTTTCTAAAGTAAAAGTAAAGCCACCGCATCATGCATAAATGCACGTGTGTCATACCACTCCTCTCTGTGTTCGCGCAGCTGTCCAGAGGGGTCGCATCCCACCTTCCCACACAGGTATCAGTCCCAACTCCCAACGAGCTGGCGGAGTCGGAGGCGTGTTACCCGGTCATCTTGGGGCAGATTACTTCAACGGCCAGCCGGTATCGGAACTCATCTCCCAGCTGCTTCGGGCTGAGCCGTACCCCCACAGCCGCTACGGGACCCAGTACGGCCAAGCGCAGATGGGGGCTTCTGCGAGCGGAGCCCCAGTCATGGGCATCGACAGCATCTGCGAGCTAGCTGCCCGGCTCCTCTTCAGCACCATCGAGTGGGCCAGAAACATCCCGTACTTTCCAGAGCTTCCAGTTTCAGAGCAGGTCAGTCAAGGATGATGAGCGACGGCAACAGCTGATTCAATGGAAACCATCTGAAGTACCGGTAGAATAGTTATTCATCCATCAATTTTCTGACTCGCTTATACTTTTTTTCTTGGCCGTTTCGCTCACGGGTTTAGCTCGGGCCTTGAAAAGCAAAAATGCATATACCCGGTTGTCGGTTTCACACCTCCACTTTTCCCTGTTGTAATCGATCGGATGAACTACAGTCGCTCTTGAATAATGTCATTATTCCGATATGTTGCGATATTATGTTTTTTGTTTTTTTTTGCAGTAGCTCTTGGTTTTTGGAGTACTTTTATGCAGAGGACAGTTAAAAAACACACATTTACTTTTTTTGTCCATTTTAGAACCTGTACCGTATTGGCCCGAATATAAGACGGTGTTTTTTTGCATTGAAATAAGACTGAAAAAGTGGGGTCGTCTTATATTCGGGGTCAAGACATTATACCCATTCACGGCGCTAGATGGCGCCAGATATCATTGAAGCGAATGCTGAACTTGACTCCACAGGCCAAAGTGAACCCCTGTCAGGAAGAATAAAAATAAAAATAGCGATAGCACGAAGAAGAAAAATAAAAAATAGCGGTAAGAAAGAGAAGAAAATAATAGAAGAGATAAGAGAAAATGGAGAAACATAGCGACAATCTGGAGAAAAGTGGGTCGAAGATCGGCCAGGTTAACCGGCAGCTGAGGAAAAGTTATGATGTAATTTATATTTCAAAAACCAGAAGCCATTCATTTATGAATGTGATTGCACTTTAGTTTACATATTTAAATGTTGAGATATTAAGATTTGAATGAGGCAAAATAACATGCTTTTTCTCTCAAATATATTGTTATAATCATTTGTTTCAGATGTACTGTAATTATTTTCTGTACAAAAATTAATTTGGTGTTCAAAAAGTCTTTTTTTCAAACTTGAGTCTTGAAAAAGAGGGGGTCGTCTTATAATCAGGGCCGTCTTATATTCGGGCCAATACGGTATTTTTTTTTAAACTACTTTTGCCACCTCTATTATTCAAGACACTGGCAAGAATGACATAGTTTCGCTTGTTTAAAAAAGAAAAAAAATCTGACTTCCTACAGGTAGCACTGCTGAGACTAAGCTGGAGCGAACTTTTCATTCTCAACGCAGCCCAGTCTGCTTTGCCACTACACATGGCCCCCCTGCTAGCAGCGGCTGGCTTCCACTCGTCCCCTATGTCTGCCGAACGAGTGGTGTCCTTCATGGACCAGGTCAGAGTCTTCCAGGACCAAGTGGACAAGCTCAACAGACTGCAAGTGGACACGGCGGAATACAGTTGCCTGAAAGCCATTGCTCTCTTTTCACCTGGTAGGTCTGCATGTTGAACCCTTTCATGCACCCTGTAACCTGATAACATGATAAGATGTCTGCTGTAGTAACCGCTGTCCCTGAAAGGGTGAATTGAATGATCAAAACTTCTGTATGTCCATTCATTTCCAACAGTGCTTGTCCTCATTAGGGAAGCTAGCGATCTGGATCATGCCCCAGCAGATTATTTGCAAGAGGCAGGGTCCACACTGAACTGGTCACCATTCAATTGCACGGCACAGGCAGACAAACAACCATTCCCACCCACATTAACAACCGAGGTTGATGTAGAGCACAGGTGTCAAACTCAAGGCCCGGGGGCCAGATCAGGCCCGCCACTTCATTTGATGTGGCCCGCGAAAGCAAATCAAAGGTGTCAACCTTCATGATGTTTGCTAAAATCTGTACCAAACTGTCAAATTCTCATTTCTAATAAAGAAGAGTGATAGCATAAGAATTTTCTTGTTACCAAATCCCTCATTTCAGTTACTTTAACAATAGGCGAATAAACAGTTCTTCCTGACTTCTTGATATGGCTTCAGTCATAATGGCTCTCCAAGGGAAACTGGAACTAAAGGAACTCAGGCCCGCGACAAAAATAAGTTTGACACCCCTGATGTAGAGTCTTCACTGAACCTAACTCGTATGTTTATGCAATGTGGGAGGGAACCCATGCAAGCACTGGCAAAACATACAAACTTGTCAGTCTTTCCATGCTTCCCCGTTGTCCTTGTTTCCTCGCCCCGCTGCACTTCCATCTCCATGGAAATAATACAAACGTTCCCAAGTTGTGAAATAGAATTGCCAAAGAAGCCCTATTATCACTGTAGTCAGCTAACCTAGCAGATGACTAGACTACCGTAGTATTAACGGTACTCCTTGTTTCACGGATTTTTAATGACGCCAGTCTATCTAAAAACATGATTCAAAGAAAAGACTTTTCCGGACACATTTTCACCAAATGTGGAAGATTAACGCCTATCCATCTAAAAACATGATTCAAAGAAAAGACAGTCTTCTTTTCCGGACACATTTTCACCAAATGTGGAAGATTTTAAAAAAACATAGAGAGGCAATGGATTAGCAAGTAAAACATAGCTTACAGTTGCTCTCTCAAATATGGTTATACTATGAAGAACCATGTTTTCTTCACATTTTAGCCCCCTTGTACGGGTGTAGGGACAGAGACCTATACAGCAGGGTGAGATACTGGTTAGAATTTCTCTCTCACAGTCCTGAGGTTCGGAGTTCAAGTCTCAGCTGGGGGCATTTCTGTGTACAGTTTGCATGTTCTGCCTGTCCTTTGTCCATTATCCAAAAACATGCATGTTAGGTTAAATGAAGACTAAATTGACCTGAGGTGTGAACGTGGGTGTGATTGGTATACAGTATATGCGCCATGCAAAGCCCAAAGTCAGCTGGGATAGGCGATAGCTATATTTAAATAAAAAAAATGGCCGGATAGGTGGTTCAAAGTTTTTGGAGCTTCAGCCACAATTATCAAAAACTGAAGAAGTTTCTGTTGTTTTGGCATAAATAATTTTGGACCCTGACGAAGTTAAAAAGTAGAGTCCGCCATTATTTGAAATGGCGTTCCCCAGACTTTATTGCACCAAGATTCACATTTTTATGTTTTTTAGAAAGTTGGACAAGGGTGCATTATTTGTCCTAAATAAATAATTTTTTGACCAATTAAGTGCAATTTGATAATTGATAAATGATGTCTTCTAAAAAGAGTTTGGTTAAAAATAACACTATTTGGGACAAAAATGGACCGATCCACTACTTGGGTCAATTTGACCCCGCAAAATTGGTTGTTTTTGTGCAAAACAACACCCAAAATTGGGTCGTTTTGAAGAAAACTAACCACAAAACAGGATTATTTTGTTCACAACTCAAAAAGTCACAAATTAAAATTAGAGTGCAAAATCAAAGATTCTAAAAACAGTTAAAAAAAATAACCCAGTTTGGGTCAGAAAGTGACTGATCTACTACTTGGGTCAATTTGATCCAAAAATTGGGTCAGTTTTGTACAAACAACCCATTTTGTACAAAACAAATTGCGATATCTTGTACAAAACTCAAAGTAGGGTTGAACTGACTCAAGTAGCAGCTCGGTCACGCTTTGACCCAAATTAATTTTAGAGTGCAAGCTCAATGGTAAACCAGCTAAAACAGTTGGGTAAAAAATAACCCAATTAGGGATCAAAAAGAGACCGACTGCTACTTGACCCACTTTGTTGTTGTTGTTACAGAACAAGACACTAAAAATTGGCTTATTTTGTTGAAAAAAAATTGTTTTTAATTACGAAAAAACAAAAATAGGAAATTGACCCAAATAGTCCCATTTTGACACATAACTGGGTTCTTTTTTGACCCAACTGTTTTTCAAGTGAGAGAACAATGGAATATATACCTAATAAAGCGAGGTCCTCTCCTGTGCGTTTGCCGTCAGATGCATGCGGTTTGACCGATCCAGCCCACGTGGAGTCCCTGCAGGAGAAGGCCCAGGTGGCCCTGACTGAGTACGAGAGGTTGCAGTACCCCAATCAGCCTCAGCGCTTCGGCCGCTTGCTCCTGCGCCTGCCGGCTCTTCGCGCCGTGCCGGCTAACCTCATCTCTCAGCTCTTCTTCATGCGCCTGGTTGGCAAGACCCCTATCGAGACTCTGATCCGAGACATGCAGTTGTCAGGGAGCTCCATCAGCTGGCCCTACGCCCCGGGACAGTAGGGAACCTGCGGACACGCTGAGAGCAAACGGGAGGATACAGAGAACATGAACAAATGCAGGATATTAGGTCAATTTATTTGCAGCACTTGCGCGCTTATAGGCTCTGGTCTTCATCTGATATGTCCTTGTCTCATTCTGGACTGCAAAAATTAAAATGCAGAGTTAGGCCATGAGCACATAACTACCTCCTCCCACATCATCCTTAATGTGACTGAGCTCGATCCAAGTGTGTGCGTGTGTGTGCGTGCGTGTGCTTGTGTGCGTGTGTGTGTGTGTGTGTGTGTGTGTGTGTGTGTGTGTGTGTGTGTGTGTGTGTGTGTGCGTGCGCGCGCGTGTGTGTGTACGCGCGCACACACACACGCGCACACATTGTCTGCTTCGTCCAAATGAAGCCACAGCATCACCACATCATCAACTTGAGTGGGTCGCTTCAGGTCTCTTCAGACTGTATCAAAGTTGTTACCAAATGTATTGTATCATGTTGTTAGAGCCCGTCTATGGGAAACCGCTTGACCATTTATTCGATGTCCACCTAAAAGTACTGTAATGCTCTTTGTCGTCACTTCAGCGCACTAAAGTAACAACTGTTTTTGAACAACTAAATGCCACGAGCGAGGCAAGCAAAACTGTGCACTCGTTGACAGCTGTGTGTTAATAGTATGACTAGTGACGTTATAAAATCCTATTAGTAACATCTACCGTAGTGCTAATGGCGCGTAGATGTCAATTTGTGGGCATATTTTTGCCCCATTAGTTTTATGTAGATGTTCTACAAATATGCCAAAGTCGTCCGCCTAAACATGATCACTAAGACACAATTGTTCTACGAGTGTGGACAAAGAACTTACTAGTATGTGGACCTTAGGCTACATGTCAAGAATATCAAATAAATGCTCAAAATTAACGGCAGTTCCGTTGTGTATCAAACAATATTTGCTCCTCAAATATTGTTCCAATTCACTGTCTGAAGTTGCCCACCCCCTTTTATTCAGGATTTGCTGCCCCCAAGTGGCCGAAATGTAAATACTTTTTTTGCACACACAAATAAGAGTGGTTTTAATATACAGTATGTAGGAAATGGCACGCTGATTAGGTGAGGCAGTTTATAAAAAAAAAAAAAAGAAAACATTCTATTGCTCCCCAGATTGTCATATCCATTATTACCTCATGTTTTACTCTCTCAAAGATTGTACAGTGAACCATGAATGCGCTACAAGAGTAAATTTACAGGGATCAATGTCCATCTTCACAAGAATGTATTAGTCAGTCATTTTCCCCCAAAGACAGTCAAGTGCTTTGATTTGTGGACACATTGTCTTTTGAAATGTAATTTCAGAAGGCATTCAAAATTGTGTAGCTCATAAAAGAAAGGTGCAAACCACCCTTATGTTTCTTTTGTCTAAAAGGTACCAGTAGTTCATTTAGATTTTGATGTAATCCAGTGTCATAAAGCAAACATGGCCTTACAAAAGGTACAAAAGGTACTGTAGAGAATGATAGCTTCGATAACGCAAGGCACTTGTCGGTACTAAAATGTTCCCATATTGTGAACATCGCAAACGGTGACTCAAAGTGATGCATGAACATAATGCAAACAGATTGTTTTCTCTGACTTTTTGTATTATCTGTCAAATTGTCAAAAGACCACAACTTCCTCAAAAGGTCAAAACGTTCTTCACTTTATCTTTTTTTTTGTCATAATTAAAACTATTGTGATTTCACTGCGCTCTTTACATTACGCTTAAATGATGACTTGTATTTCTTTGACCTTGCAGAATTAAAACTAAATGCAGATAAAATTGAATGTTTGTGAGCCTATGTTTTAGCCATCTTGTATGCACACTGGCAACAAAGGTAACTAACACGGCGACCAGGTGGTCAAGTGGTTAGCGCGTCAACCTCACAGAGGTCGTGGGTACAATCCCAGCTCCGACCTCCCTGTGTTGAGTTTGCATGTTCTCCCCGGGCCTGCGTGGGTTTTCTCCGGGTACTCCGGTTTCCTCCCACATTGATTGAACACTCCAAATTGTCCCTAGGTGTGAGTGTGAGCGCAGATGGTTTACAGAGTTCATCTCCGTGTGCCCTGCGATTGGCTGGCAACTAGTTCAGGGTGTCCCCCACCTACTGCCCGAAGACAGCTGGGATAGGCTCCAGCAAAGCCCGCGACCCTTGTGAGGATAAAGCGGATTGGAAAATGAATGACTGAATGAGTGAATGTATGCATACTCATGTGGATAACAGCCAGTTGACTATCATGTGAAGAAAACGGATTATCTTTTCGTCATTTGTAGTTGGAAACTGCAAATGATTTTACTTCATACCTACCACTAGTGGGCCTTTATAGTGGTACTGTACTTAACCACTGGAGAGCAGTAACGATGAGGTACTGAAAATGCAAAGGGCTACCCAGGTTACTAGTGTCATACAGGCTTCGTAAAATAAGACTTGCACTACATTAATGACCTCTGGTACTCAACTAAAGAATTACGTTTTCAAATAATTATTTCCAAATTCACACCAATGCAAGAATGTTTTTCTAAAATAGCAACAAAAAAAAGTTAGATGCAGCTTAGATCTTTGTTTAGAATAGCAGCACAAAAAAAATAAATAAAATTAAGACCCCTGTTCCTGGTGAACTAGTAATTTGCGGGCTACCCAAGTGGTCTTTCGGGGTTCCCTGCTCCCTGCCAGCATCACAACAGGGAGCCATGAGGTGGGCTGATTCAAAGAATCGTTCTTGACCTTGACCTTGACTCATTTTTAGAGAATTAGAAACGTTTATTGTTTAATGAATTCAATACTTTCGTCAGTTACAAAGGTTTGTAATAGTTTTTAAAAAATTCATATAAAAATAAATGGTTCACAAAACGTTTATCAGACAGAAAACAATGTTCTTGAAAAGCATACACGTTTACAACAGATCACACCGGAATTGATTGTAACATTATGCATTACATTGATCCGTACAAAAACATGTCATTTTCATTGGCCTTGAAGTAACTTTATACAAATATTTGCATAGGTTATTAGTCACAGGCATTGTTCTTTTTAGAAATGCGTATAAACAACTTATTTGAGAACAAACAATTCCAGTTCAAAGATGACATCAGAAATAGACGCAGTACTTACAGTTGTTCCTTTGACTCCCGCAGAACACAAACACACAAATCATCACAGAAATATTCATGGAGAATAAACAGTATTGAGATTATTTACAGTCCAACAAGCGGTCCAAAATATCCCCTTTTTTGGTGTCACTGATTCTGGTATTCAGCATCCAGTTTAATTAAAAAAATTTACAAGTTCGAAGAATTATTACCATAATGAAGGTTAAAAAGTGACATGTTCTCCATCTCGTTAATGTGAGGCAACCAGAAAAGCGTCATTTGTCTGCTCCCTTCACATAAATGACTAGCATAAAATCAGAGCAAAATAGTATTGTAGATTATTATTACATCAATACAACATCCAATATGTTCCCTGTGGTGTCAGTGTCTGTTCCAGTAAGCCAGTAACTGTGGTCCAAGCATAGCAGAGAATGGGTGAACCATTTTGGAGTGGTTGCAGAGTGGTGTCAAGATGGCGTAAGTCTATGAGTGGCTCTTGTCGTAGTTTTTCACCATGCGCTTGATGTGGAACAGTTTGTGTCTCAGCCTGCGACACTCTTTCTTCTTAGACTGGTACTCTGGTGTCTGAAAAGTAAGAGGACATTTTTATTGTTCTTGCTCAAGGCTAATTTAAGCAAATTGATCCAAAAGCTGAGGATGCTACGGGTATTCACAGGGAGAACAACTCATAGTGTTCAATCCTACCCTGACATCAACCCCATTGGGACAACAGAGAGTTATGAGGGTGGACGAGAGCAGACCACAAAATGGCAACTAAAGGAGGAAAAAACTGTTTTCTCAAATGAGACAAAGAAACTCCGGTGGCTTGAAAAAGTATTCAAAGCACTTGAACCTTTGCACATTTTGTGACCTTACAATCGCATCCTTGACTAGATTTTGTTACAATTCAATGTGATAGACACAAACACAAAGTAGAACATTATTGTGAAATGGAATGAAAACGATACAATGTTTACAAAATTTTATCCATCCTGAACTGTTTGCCAGCATATCGCAGGGCACATATAGACAAACAACCATTTGCGCTCACAATCACGCCTAGGGACAATTTAAAGTGTTCACTGAACCTACCAAGAATGTTTTTGGAATGTGAGAGGAAACCGGAGTACCCGGACAAAACCCACACAGGCAGAACATACAAACTCCACACAGGAAGGCACCTCTGCATTGTGAGATGGAACGCGCTAATGTGTCAATCACCGTACTGCTCTTTTTCAGTGTATCATAAAAATATATTAATCTGCTACATTCATCTTGAAACAAATGACTTCCCTCATGAGAATAAAGACCAATTGAATCATTTTCGCACAAATCAAAACCACTTACTGACCCGCTTAAAGTCTTTCAGATGATTATATTCCTCTGCTACACCCTGAAAAAAAAAGATATTTTTGTTATATTCGTGGTGGTGTCACGTCACATAAACGTGCGATGTTGTTCAATGGACACATTTTTTTTATTATTAGCAGTCAATTTGTAAGTAAAAACATGATGAATACTGCCTTGTTTATACATTTTGTTTGGTCCCCTTTTGTCAAATTTTCTCCAACCAATGAAATATTTATGTCCGTTTTTCTCTCTCACCTGGTAGTTAACAGAGTTCTCATCCAGTGTGTCCAACTGCCTGCTAAGTTTGTTGATCTGATCGTTGATATCGTCCATGTCTGCGCACATGCGCTTGTACTCCCTGAGGTCAGCATCAAACTCGGACTTATAGTTGTGACGCTGTTCATCAGATGTAATGTCAGGGTACACGCTGGGAGGAAAGACAAAAGGCACTTTACTTTCATCTAAAGCAGGTGTCACCAACATTTTTGAGGCTGAGAGCAACTTCATGTGTACCGTTGGTGTGAAGGGCTACCAAATTGATACACGTCTGAAATAACATATTTGTCCAAAATACCTTCAATAATATGAGCAAGTGTTATTCTTAATACTTGATGATTTAAATTGTCAGACTTTGATCGTGTTTAAAAATGTCTCACAATAATGCCAGTGTTTGCATTTTTAAATCCTAATTTCTACTAGCAAATCACAATGTCCAAGCACTGGCGAGCTACCTGGTACCCGCGGGCACCATGTTGGTGACCCCTGATCTAAAGGAAGAATTTGTAGTTGACCTGAAGAAAAAAAATTGTGTGTGTGTGTGTGTGAGAGAGAGAGAGAGAGAGAGAATTGTCTATAGAATATCTATTTGAAGGCTATGCACAGGATAAATAATAGCATGAACTGCTTTGTACCTTTGGCCGAGTTCCCTCATACCTCACGAGATTAACTAATCCTCAGGACAGAATATACAGTACAGTGCAGCTTTTTACTTGTGCCAGACAAAGTAATAAAATACTCATCTATATCCATCTGTTCCCTCTGCAAACAAATATTTGGGCTGTGGAGTGCTATAAGCAGAGGCTTCTTTTCTAATCCAACTGTCATTGATTCAAAGTGGAGAATTAAGGCCTGGTCCCGAGAGAGCAGCAAAATATGCAATCTCCATGATGTTCTCTCGGTTAAGGTCACCTGCACCTCTCTAATCCTGCCCGTGTGACAATGGAGGCTTATGGCTCACCTCTCCCACTCGTCCGTATCGAGCTCGTTGCCTGTCTCTGCTCCTGTGGTGTACTCCGTCTCATACTGAGACTCGTCCATGTCAGGGTTACGTCTGCGTCGCTTGGCCCTGTTAGCAGAGGGTTTACGGCCCCCGCCAGTCTCCTCTGATGGACTGGAGCTGGTCCTCCCATGGGATAAAGCCTCTGACGCTCGATAGAGGGTCCTCTCGGAGTATCTTTCGGGTCGATCACAAAGACAGAAGAAAAATGTGTTAAGAGTTGTGATTGAGGGATAAATTGTAACAAATGGCCTCAATCCCCCCTTTATATGAATAAATGCAGGCTATTTCATCAGATCGTGCAAGTCAACCGGAATGCTAAAGTGGACAAGTGTCGGAGTGAGTCAAGTATGAAATCAAAACAATCAGTGGTTGAATCGGAAAAATTACAGGATGATTCGTCTGTTGTCTTGCCCTTTTTTAGCTGCACAAAGTGTCCAACGAAATGGTACCAGATAAGGCAACTGAAACAAATAAAGCTAGAAGACCGTTTACGCAAAGGATTATAATAGGTCACACACTAATATCAGCCTTTGCGCCTTGTAGGGGGGGAGGTGGTTGCAATTGTTTTCATAACACAAGCAGGAAACATGGCCGACTTTGTGGGTTTCCAACGGATTTGTCAAGGAATCCAAACCCAGCAGTTGAACGATGTCAATAACATGCAGACAGTGTTTATTTTGTGTGAGGGACACACCAACTACTAACTGACAGGAGTTTACAGTCATAGTGGCTTGTAAACTTCAGCATTGAGATCATAAAGGGTACACAATACATATTTGCCATGCACTGTCACTGAACTTGTTGTAAAATGGCCACCAGAACAAAAATCAATAAACATGAGCGGAAAAACAAGGGAAAGATAATCCCTCACTGGTTCGAAGGTCAAGAGGCACAGCTCATTTTGTGGGTAGGGCTATATGTTTTCTTTTTTTTTTTTCTAAACAGAGTAGACTTCGCATGACTAGTCACATGGTGGAGGAGAGATGCTGAGCAATGGACCCACTCATTGTTGTCGTAGGTGTCCCCGTTGAAAGAGCCGCTGTCCAGCTTGGCCGGGGGATAGGAGATGACACTGTTCGCTGAAGCATTGAGCAGACCACCTCCCTTCTCGGACACCAGTAGGGTTGGGGCATCCTGAACACTACGGTTTTCCTCCACATTGTTCACCTACACAGGAAGGAAAAACAGGCGGAACAACATAAACATCACATTCCCAAAGACTGTAAACCGAGGTTTCTTTCCTAACCGACATCCTGCTTGAAACCTGTGTTCACCACTATACGACATACTGTACAACTCTTAGGTTGTTATGTTCTTACGGTGACATTTGTCACCCACTAGCGTCTGACTAACAACAGCATGGCCTTTAACTTTTGACCGCATCCTGTATGTGTGAGTACTTTTGTTTGATTGAAAAAGACGAACACACTATTCTAGCCCAAGAAACACCAGCTCGGTAATTAGTGCTCCATGGTGAAGAGAGCACTCAGGCACATAATTGGGCAGCATGGTGCAGCTACTCACTGCTGTTGCAGTTATATCTTTGGTTCACTCATCTTGAGCCGGTTAAGTGAACTCAACCAACGTCCAAACTGCTCAAATATAATTCTAAATGAACAAATAATTTGTTTACTTCACATATTTGGCTGGCTATGTGGACAAAATGATATCGGTCATATAAATGCATTTACTTTTATAAGTATTTTTCCACTCAAAGATCCTGAACTAGGGAGATTCTCTCATTGTGGTCTACCAGTCGCTGTTTCCGTCGTTTTAGCAAGCAAGTTTACACAGTGTGTTCTGACTATAATCTGTGGTATTTAATAGTTGTTTCCATTTCACACAGTTGCTTAGTTTTGTTCATGCTCCTGCTTTAGATGATATGCAACTCTTATGAAACCATGTTGTTATTTCTAAACAGACTATAATATTGGAAATTTCCCGAAGAGGCATAGCTGAAGCCGATATCAGCCCATCCCCCCAAAATAATAACAGTCTGTGTAGTAGTCAGGTGAAGTGCAGCTTCCTGCCTTGCAGCTGCTGTATGAGAATTCTATTTGAAGGGCACCCCTCATACAAAAATCCCAAAAATGCCCTCTGACTGAGCAGAACTAAACCAGTGCTGCCATGATGAATATAACTGCAAGATCGGTTAAAAAAAAGTCTGCCATTTGAACGTGGTGAAGTAAAGAAAGAAAGTAAAACTGGAATAGATAGTGCTAGATTCCCAGATTGGGGGTGGAGCAAAGAAAACACAGAGACACAGCAGAAGAGTGTGTGAGAGAGCTCGTATTGGAAATTAATCTGAGTTGGATACAAGAATTTTTTTGAAAACACTTGGACAATTTAAAAATCCATCCATACATCCATTTAACACCACTTAACCTGAACAGGGTCGTGGGGAGTTGCTGGAGCCTATTCCAAGTCAAGTCGCAGGGCATTGAGACAAACAACCATTCACAAACACATTGAAACAGTCACTGAGGGGGAACTAATCTCACGCTGCCCGGACATAAATCCGCCATGTTTATCACTCCACCCTTAGCGACGCCATTTTAAAAATGATAGTTCAATTAAGATTATACATCTTGTCATTCTAACTCATTTTACATGATTCATCTACAATATGCAAACCAAAGTAGACAGAAAACTAAAAATTAGCCTTGACTGAACTATATGTAGCCTAACAAACTACAATAATATATTTGTACATTTGAATATACGTTGAAGACCAGCCCCATCCAATATCTCTGACTTACCAGCACACTGACACCACCAGTGACCTCATCAATTAAACACAATGGGGCCCAAACTGAGCAGAATGAGGCCAGTGTGTGAGGTCATCCTCAGTGTGTTGGTCCAGTTTCAAATCAAGCCTGATGACTAACTGTGTGACACTGCTGTGCACGTGGTGCAAAAACTATGAAAGAATATACAGAGATATCAAGAAATAACACCATAGGCGATATAAGATGTGCTGAGGCAATAATTGAGTCCTGATTGAATAATGAGGAATGACAACTTGTGCACACTGTAGACATCTAAACACATCCGACATACTGTACTTTTTTAAAAAAGACTTAACAGGCTTAAATAACATATTGAGTCATCAAAATGTAAAAAAAAAAAAAAAAACTTTTCTGAAGAAATTTAGCTTTTGCAGTCATATGGGCAGTCCCAACCTAAACAGGGGTGGTGGAAAGCATTACTATTAAGTTGTTAAAACACAAACTTGGATAGTTCAGAAAACTTTGAAATGTGAACTTTTCACCACAGCAACATCAACTTTCCACACTTTTTTAACATAACAGACCTGAGATGTAGTGTCAAAGCATACCAAGAGCCCTCGTTGTCATTCAAACTGGGAAAGATATTACTAGAATAGTGACACATCAAGTCAATCATCAATCCCCATTTCAGGTAAGAGTCTATTAGGAGTGTTGTTGACGTTTATGAAACTCTGTAGAAACCACCTGCTTGCTTACTATCTTCTCGGGTAGCTAATGATTAATCTGAGTGAAACCAGGCAGTAGACCATGAACAAACATTCACTGAGTACTAACAGCCATGAGACTGAACCAAGTCAGTCACCAGAGGAAACACTACCAAATGATACAATCACAACAAGCATGAAAGCATATTGAAAAACAAGTCTTGGAGCGTCACCCTGTTGCGTACAGCCGGTCACCTCCATTATATCTTAGAAATGATGATGTGATACCTACCGGTACTTACTCACTTTGCATTGTTAAATTCAAATGAGACTAATCCGCCACATGCAACAAGCTAAACACTTTGGGTTCATATTGGGGAGCATATGTCTTTTTTTTTTTTTTTTAACTTCATCTACTTGTCATAGCAAAACGAGTAATGGAACATTCCATCAAGGCTAGATTAAAATCCCTGACCCCATTCCCTTGACTACAGATAAAGAAGTTAAGAACTCCGGGTCAATTAGGGTCAAATATGATTTGTAGTCATCAGTTCAACGTGATGCAACTGTGACCACCAAGAGCTTGTCTCTTACCCATTCCTCGACATCTCTGCCCTCCGTTGCCTTCCCGCCAATCAGAGGCTCATCCCAGAAGATGTTGGGCTTTCCATAACGCCAGATCTTCCCTCTAGTTTTGCTTGCATAGAACGCGGCGACAGCCAGAGCGATCACCATCAGGAATCCACACACCATGGCGACTCCCTACAAAATCAAGGACATGGGAGTCAAATCAGAAGGTTTCAAAGATAAGATGTACCACAAAGAGCGTCTGACCTGATATGAGTGTACAAATACATACAAAATGTCACCGCTCGTGTCTCTCTGTACAATAACAAGTAGCAAACAGTTGCGAAAAGAACCAAAAAAAAAAGGTAACTATCACGGCGGACCAGTGGTTAGCACGTTGACCTCACAGTGCAGAGGTTTCAATTCCAACTCCGGCCTCCCTGTGTGGAGTTTGCATGTTCTGCCTGGGCCTGCGTGGGTTTTCTCTGGGTACTATGCTTTCCTCCCACATTCCAAAAACATGCATGGCAGGCTGATTGAACACTCTAAATTGTCCCGTGGTGTGAGTGTGAGCGCGGGTGCTTGTTCGTCTTTGTGTGCCCTGCGATTGGCTGGCAACCGGTTCAGGGTGTCATCCGCCTACTGTCCGAAGACGGCTGGGATAGGCTCCAGTCCCGCCCGCGACACTTGTGAGGATAAGCGGATCGGAAAATGGATGGATGGATTGATGGTAACTATCACAAACATGCCTGAAGCCAATCCAGAAAAGAAAAAGAAAAAAAGAAACCCAAACCTCTTGAGGGTCCACAAAGCAGTAATGGTAGAGGTACTGGTTGTATAGGGGGAAGCCTCCCACACCTCCCATCTGAGAATAGCCCGTCTGGTAGAGGCTCTGACACATCATGAGCATGGGGTTGTATATCACATTGGACGTTCCCTGGGCCATGGGGTTTACTCCAAATATATACACAATGTTTATGATGCCCTGAAACATACAAAGTTGATCATTACGCTGTGTTTAATACTCTTGGATTGAGAGCAAAAACATTTCATACCGCCTTCAATCTTATTCTGACATCATGCATTTTATTATGTTATCGTAGAAATACTTTGGAAGAATACAGAATCTAGGACATGAAAATCTTCTGAGTGAAACTCTGAATGGAACACAAGAAACGTACACTAAAAGAACAAATGATTGAGACTTGTAAACAAGTTCAAATATATTACTATCAAGGTGGCGTCTGCATGGAGCAGATTTAGAACCCAACTCCTCATACATAACATTAGCAATTTAACTCCAAATAGGCAAACACTTTGGAGGCCGAGACGACGGTAAAAACAACTCCTATATCAAAAGCAGGAGTGGGCAATTAATTTTGCAAAAGGGACCACATGGGAAATTAGTACGCTTGCCGAGGGTCAAGCCAACATGCTAACTTCAACTTTGTTCCATTTTACTTTTATTGCATTTAGAAAATTCATATTGTCTAGTTCTAACAAAATCCTACGTATGTAGGTATGTTTTAAATTTTTAAAATTAGGAAATGCAACTTTTAAACAAAATAATAAGTTACAATTGTATCGCTACACATTCAAAATTATGACCTTTATATTGTACAGAAAACATTTTTAATCAAGACCAGTCACGACCTGTGATTAGTGATAAACACAGAATGCAAGCGCTGTCCTGCTCTGTGTCGGCTCAAGTGCCACAACATTTGCTTCATTGTATTATTTTAAAAACAAGATAGCAAAATTTGTTTTTGGTGCAAACGTAATGGAAAAAAAGATACTGGTCATTTTGTTTTTTTTTGGTTGTGATTTTTCTTTCACTTGTCTCTAGTCTCAGTAATGTATTGGTCTCAATTGGTGTGGTCTTGACTACAACATTACTGTGTAGCTTAATTTAGACATTGTCTGATCACGACGACTCTGAACCACGTGAAAGGAGACCTTGATTGTCTCCTTTTTCATCTATAAACACTTCAAACAACAAGGCGTACAGTATGAGCAAGTACGTAGTTGTTACGATATGTTATGTGTTCTGTTGTATTATTTTATGTCAAATGTTCTGGAAAGCGCTTTGTTAGAGCTGTTGTGAAAGCGCCATATGAATAAAGAAGTATTGTGTAAATCAAAAGATATAACCCAAGCATTTCTTGCGATTGTGACATTGCAATTACAGTAGTTAGATCGCCTTGTGCTGAGTTGTGCTCAAATCAAGGTCCAGTCTTTGGGGAATATTTGCCGCTGTACAGTCTGTGTTGTTGCCTTTGTTCTAAATCATTAACAGCGCAAAACTATCACTTTAATTGTAACACACTGGCCAAGAAGCCTGCCTTATTCTGGCCACTGTGGCGTCCAGTCTTTAGTCACGATCTCATATTTTAATGTACAAATGTTACTTCTGGTTTGATCATCTAATACATTCAACTTAGATCAGTCTTGTTTTTCTTATCAATGGTAGTTGTTGTGCTTGTATGCGTGTGACTGACTCTTACCTGTAGGATAGCCATGATGATACTGGCAATCAGGACGGCCAGAAAGTACTTCCTGCTGCGGATGGCGCTCGCTTTGGAGAAACTGGCAATGAAGAAAGCCAATGCCCCGATGAAGTTGATGGCTGCCATGGCAATCATTGCCGTTTTGGCTGAGTATGGGGAAATGTAGGAACCCTGGTAGCTGCCATAGCCTCCATAACTGCCGAAGCCACCGTATCCTGAGCCGTAGCTGCCTCCTCCATATCCACCACCATAGCCAGATCCATAGCCATAGCCCATTCCTAGTCCCATTCCATTTGCATACTGCATGTCCCACATGAGAGTGGAGGCCACACAGGAGAATATGGCCAAACACATCACGATGACAAAAGCCATCATAGCTTTCACAATCCCTGGAGGCGACAACCATTTGTAGAAGTGCTGTGGCTTGTCCTCAACGTAGTAAGATCCCGGCGGAGGAGGGTAAGCGTTGTAATCACTCAGAGGAGCATGGAAGCTGCCTGGTGCTCCAAACCCATTGTTGGATGGTGGGGTGTACACAGGTGGACTCTCGTAGGGCTGTTTGTCAAACATCTCTACAAATGCCAAGAAACAAAGAGATGAAATTGAGAGCAAAGTCAAATGTGTCAGCGATGAGCAGAGCACTGATATGAGCTATGTTACAGTTCACGACTGATATGGAATAGATGGGTGTGACGGCCCTTCGTAATGAAGCCTCGTAGCAGAAATGTGTAAATTATTGACTGCGAGGACCGTGGGCACTTGGAGAAATCTGTTACCCGGAATCTGTTGGTATGGTGGTTCAGCGTACACCGCATACCCGGAAAAAATAATGAATAAAGAATAAATAATGGGACAGAAATCTCAAGATCCTTCTTCAACTTCTCCAATATTATTGACAACATAAAAGTGGGATTAGTGATTGAATTAGCACATTTCTATGGGTTGCTCCTTCATTTTAAACAACTGTCCAATATAAATGTATACGAATGAGGGCATACTTGGTGGCAGTGTGATGGTCGGTGGCTGCTTTACTCCCTCAGGACCAGGACAACTTGCTGTGATTGGTGGAACAATGAATTCTGCTGTCTTCCAGAAAATCCTGAAGGAGAATGTCAGATTATAAATTTGCGGCCTCAAACTCAAGCGCTATTTCATCATGCAGCAGCACAACGATCCGAAAAACGCCAGCAAGTCCACCACTGAATGGCTAAAAAAATAAATAAGGTTTTGGAGTGTCAAAGTTTGGATTTGAATCCAATTGAGATGCTGTGGTATGACCTTAAACGGGCAGTTCATGCTAGAAAACCCTCCAATATGGCGGAGTAGAAGCAATTCTGCGAAAAAGAGTGGGCCAAAATTTCTCCAAAGCGATGTGAAAGTCTCCTCACCAATTATCGCAAATGCTTGACTTCAATTATTGCTCTCAGGGGTGGCACAACCCATTATTAGGTTCAGGAGGCAATTACTTTTTCACATAGGGACAGGTAGTTTGGGATATTTTTTTGTGTCTAAATATAAATTGAATTGGAATTTAGAAACAGCATTTTGTATTTCCTTTTGTTGTCTGTGTGTGATATTAAAATTGGCTTGATGAACTGAAATTTTTGTGTGTCCCAAATATGCAAAGAACACAGAAATCAGGAAAGAGGCAAATACTTTTTTTATGGCACTGTATTTATAGCTGGTGTAAATGATGTTTTATTGGGGTCAGAAAGTGTGTTAATAATCTTGTCACAGACTAGTCCAGACCTGCTTTTTGTCATTATCAGAAAAAAATGAACTATGAGTGGAATGACCTCAGCTTTGAAGGGCTTTCGCTGAGCAAAATGAGAACCAGTGTGGCGATGTCTGTACCAGGGCATGTCGGGAGCTCAGCCAAACAATACTTCCATTTTTTTGAGTCTTCGCAGGCAGTTAGTCTTTCTGCAATGTCCGGGTCTTCAAGAGTTCACATATTCCGCCTTCAACTCGTTTTGTTTTTCTTGTGCTAAAAATCTTACAAGGGGGCAAGGCCACAATTGAACAATAGCCATTGTTTTACACCAAGGCCTGCGAGCAGAAGAGAGAGTACGACTTCCAAAATGAGCATGTTAGTGCATCCCATTTGCCAAATGTATTATCAGCCAAACTAACCTATAGTCCCACACGGGAAACACTTGGAAGTATTAGGCCTGGGGGAAAATACAAAGTAATGTGCCCTGGTCTGACACTGTAAACGCAAGCCCATTCAATGGCTGAGACACAGAAAGAGGTGTGCTTGCTGGCGAAGTTCACAGTCTACACGGCCATAATTCTTCACTCTCTATGGGACAGAGCAGGTCTCGCCTCAGAGCCTCCATCCCAGACAGCAGACAGCCTCCCATCATTCCCTCCTTCATTCCTCTGTGTGCTTACAACCTCCAACATTCCCCCTGTCCTCACTGCCCGCCTTTGTTTGGGGAGCAGGAGGGGCAAAAGTCAGGGCTTCTCACAGGAACACTGTTGTCATGGAGTCAGAGTCCCCCCTCCCCTCCAAAAAAGGCAGAAAATTGGGGCAGTGTCCTTGGAGTACCAAACAATATCCCCTCTGTGCATCCCCATGTCTCAAAAGAGTCAAAAAGAAGGGAATACAGGTGCATACAGGTTGTGCAAACTAGTTTCTTGACGTCATCACTGAACACTGAGTCTTTTTTGCAAAGATACTTAAATTAAAACTATCAGTGGGATGCAACAGGCTTCCCATGGTAAGTTCCGTGCCACAGGTTTTGGACCATGTTTTGGTACAAATGATAAGTGTTTTGTGCATAAAGAGAAAAACAACTTTTAACCTTCCAAAATTTTTCTTTACTTTGGTTGGTTGTAAAAAACGTGGGATAAATTGACTAAAGGCGTGTGTAGCTTTTGTGTGAAGCGAAGGATAAAAATGGAGCAAACAGATTGTGTCTAATGAAAAAAAAAAGCACACACACAGATCGTTAATTAACTGAGATGCTAAAAAGAAAGTGTCTCGGTGCATCGGGATTATTTGCACGGATTTAAATGAGGTTATTTGCATACATCTATGCAAATGAGCCTCATTGATAACCAACATTCAATTCACGAACATCAGCGCAAATAGTCACACCCAGTTTTGGGGGCGCAACCATCTACAGCAGTGGTCACCAACCTTTTTGCAAGTGACGGAGAGCTACTTCTTGTGTACTGATTTGTGCGAAGGGCAACCAATCTGATACACATCTGAAATAATTTGCTCAAACTACCTTTAATATGTTTTTATTGATTATCAATTCTATTCATTTTTGGACACTGATCATGTCTCTCAATAATTAGAAAACATAAATATATCACCTTTTTTTCATAGATCTTGCCAGTGTTCACATTTTTAAATTATCCTTTCTGCAACTTTCCTAGAAAATCACATTGTCCCATCACTGATGAACTATTTCAAAGTGGTCTACAGAAAGCTGGTATAATAGTGGCTGCACTCAGTTCAAGTGTCTTTTAGCGAGGGAAAGCATTGCCTGAGCAATGTGAGGGAACGCTTCGACATATGACACGGCGTCTAAAATTATGCCAAAATACTACTAATACTACTATAATTATCAGAAGAAACTGATCATGATAATATCTCACAATAATTGGGAAAAATACATATCGATATGCAACACTATATTTCTATAAAACTCTGCCAGTGTTTACTTTTTCAAATTACCACTTCTACAATATTCCTAGAAAATCACAATGTCACACCGCCAAGAGTTATTTTTAGAACAGGCCCACAGGGGGCACCTGGTGCCGGTGGGCACCATGTTGGTGACCCCTGGTTTGAGGAAACCTCAGCACCGATCAGAGTTGTATCTTCTGCCAAGAGCAAAGGATCCACTCCAAGGAATTGACGAAAAACATTCATAAACAGAAAAAAAAGAAGAGGATAAAACAAACGAACTTTGGAATGAGGTTTTGATCATCAAAACCACAAATAACCAAAAGGAGGATATGACGACTAATATAGGTCAACCAAACTGCGCTGATCTTCCGTGGTGTTTTCCCAAAGAAGGAAAACCTATTTCACATATTGAACCAAAGTGCACAAATACTGTGTGAATAAGTATTTGTATGGAATGAGAGTCACCACAACGATAAGACTGGCCCGAGCAGTAGCTGAGTGGCATTTGTGTTTCGTGGTCAGGTCTGGTCAGACGCCAAGCAACTTTAGCCTGAGCCACACTACAATCGAATGACTCATTTGCTGCCACCACTGATGGAATTTCACTCGTACGGTTTGTCACGTCTCCCGTCACCTCTTTTGGACTGTGACCCACTGCCATAATGACAGGACTCAACCAAGACTTTCTATCGAAACACACAGCCCCAAAAAATAGATAACTGCAATTGATTCGGCAAATTCTTTTATGAGGGGTTACACCGTATCAATAAGAAGTATATACTGTGGTAGGTCAGGTGTTCCTTGGGCGTGAGCATTCACACTACGGTTATTCTTCAAAACAAACTGTTAATTTAAAATCGAAACATCGTGAGCTCTCAATCAAAGAACACTAGTTAGTGTAAGAAGGACTTGTGCCAGGGGGAATGATGGAGTATGTATTAACAATTCAGTCAACGAGAATTGCATTATACAATCACAAATGTCAAGATGACAGCCTCCCCTCTTTGACCAAACTGATTAATTGTGTATACTTCAAGACTGAGGAAAGCAACTTTAAATAGCTTGAATGAGGTCGTAAGAGGTAGAATTCAAAGCGACATTTGGCACCTATTTAGTGTCGTCGCGTACCTGAGGACCACTGGCGGAGGCAAAAAACCTGGCCGTCCTTGCTTACAGTCACAACTCTTCCAAGTTAAAGCTGTGGCTAAAAATGAGAATAATTCACTCTTGTCGGGCTATCTTTACAGATAACCTCTTGAAGTTACGGTCATTCGAAGAAAGAAAAAAAAAAAGTATTACTCCACGTCGGAACCCTGCATGCGTCTCACTCAGTCGTCTGGAGCAGAGTGCCGCTACTTTTCCTGCAGGTCCGCGGTGCTGAGGCCAGCCGCACAACACCCTGCATGTGTTCTAGCGCCAGGGGTCAGCCTTGGCACCCGAGTTTACGACAGTCGCTTATTAATTTAAGACTAATTGTATACTGTATAGTGATGGGTGATTAATGGAAACATACTAATATGATAAAAACTACTTAATTTTTTAGAAATTTGTACTCATGTTACAATCACTATTCGCCACAATATTATGTACACCAGAGGCGATTGCCTCTGTGGAAGCCAGCCAACTGTGTGAACTGTTTGAAGAGATGGACCAATTTCATTGTTCATGGTCAGCAAAACCACATGGACAAGGTCAACGTTTGGTCACTTTACCAGCTCGCTTCATAAAATTTACCTTCTCACAGCAGACTCATTGGATTGTTGCTGAGTACTGCCAATTTCATTACAAGAAATGTACAAAATCATCACAAACATAAATTCAGTAAAATACAGATACCTGAAAACAATACTTGAGTAGTTATTTCTTGGGGTTTTCCAGGAGACAATGAGCCAGAAAAATTAGAAATTCAGTCACACGCTGAGATTGTATTGTTGAGATTGTCTTCCTATTTTTTAATCTGGTTTCGGTGCCACTCTTTGACAAGGGACCATCATTTGACTTAATTTAAAATACATGCCACACACTTCACATCAGACAAAGGAATCGTGTGCTTTCTATAATCAAACATGTGCTGTATAGTATAAAACATTTAGCAAACAAAAAAATCTCCAGTACTGCACGACAACAATGTGTTTAGTGTCCTGAATGGATTACATTGTATAGTGTTCGCTGTTCGTGGGGTTGTTTGAAAGTAAATAACAAGACATAAAAAATGAGGTTCGATATCTATGCATTATGTTGGGGTTCAACTTTCCAATCTGTTCAAAACTGAATATATATTTTAACAACAAATAAAGCAAAGTGAATTGTGTCCATTGTATCCATAAAGATGTCGGGCATACAATGCATTCAACATCCATTGGATTTTTTTCTCCTTTTCACAATCACAATTTAGGGATGACACTCATCATCCATCATTCATATTTCCTCGTCTTGAGCGGCCAGATGAGAATTGTTAACAGGCCAACTGCGGCGGCCAACCCCACGCCTCCTGTCACGGTTGCCATGACGTCACGATAGAACCAAATACACTCTGGGCAGCATGCCTCTGTGCTGTGGATAAGAAAAAGAGGGGAAAACAGATATAAGTCAGTTGGGCATCTCTGAGGCCACTTGCCCAATCAACATCCTTAGGTGAGGACGAGTGAATACCTCCCAAAGTAACCATTTCAAAATCATCAATAAGCAATCCATTGATCTCGAATACACATATCCACCACCGGTGTGTGTCATTTTGCTGCTGCATTTGCTACAGTAAAGTGACTGCTGCAAAATTCGGTCAATTGAATGCACCCGTATAGGACACAACTGGATTGGTGCCTCGCCCCCCCCCCCCAAAAAAAGTTCAATGTCATAAAATAAAATAGCTTTCATGTTTTAACAAAAGTTTCACACAATGATGTGACAAGTTATCATATTAAAGCGTGACAAGCACAACAACACAACACAAAGAAATGGGCGTCCGTCCGGGACGGAAGGACAGACAGACCGTTCCGTCACAGGGACGGAATGTCCATCTCTGCTTTTTAGCATGGTCGGAGAGGAGAGCAGTGAATCATATGACATGCTGGACTTGACATCCTCAAGCAGTTTTCCAAAAGAATGGAAGAGCGCAAATGTTCTCTTTTCATAAAATAGTTAGCCTTGAGTGAATGTCTCACTCTACCTCCTGCAACCCCGTTAGGTATATGATCAGAATAAGACAATTTTTAAATTTGTTCTTTATTTGGCACATAACTAAATTCATCCTCAGGGCCTGCAATAACAGCGAGCTAAAAAAACAGCTTCTACTACTCAGAGAAAGCTAACATTCATCCTCACCTGCAATCCTGTGACTGTGATTATGGAGCGAGGTATTGTCAACATCAAATATTAATCAATAAATCCGGCAATAAAAATTCTTGGAGCAGGAAAATTCAGAAAATGAGCTGTGTCATTGTTTAAGCCACAGGGGTCCAAGCTGGGGGGAAAAGATGTGGCTTGCAAACCAAATCTTACAATAATGGTATTCTTTCTTTGCAAATATGTGTTTAAATGTTGACCCTTCTCATATGATGTGCGAAATTTGCCACAAATGGAATACAATTACTCTGTTCATTACAAACAGCATTTGGATTCACAGCCAAAGCCTTTTGGCAATATTACACTCAAGTCATTGTAATCAGTTATTTCGTACTGTATACTGTACTGTATTATTATACAGAAATGCTTAAAGAGGATAACTTATTAATGTATTATGTATTAAATGGACGTGGACATGGCGCAGAATTTAGTGCCATCTCGTGGTGAACTAATAGAATGCAATGACCTAAGTTCAAAGTCTACAGTGCCCCAGAGAGACCCCATGTCGCAAGCCTACCGCCAAATTTCTTCAGCAAAATGACGGAATAAATGCGTCAGATACATGTAACATAGGCTGCAGTCATGTGTTGAGGAAGTACATTTGCTGAGTTTGTCTCCTTCGAATATTGGTGGCAGACATATGGCGGCCAAACATGGCAGCCTCCTGGAGGGGGAGGCACACCCTTTGTAATATAATTAGTGTTTACGTCACCTACAATGGTCTAAAAAATGGATGTGGATGTGATAGGATTTTTTATTTTTTTTTGCATACTACTGAAATTAATTGTGTTTTTAAAATGAATAAACACTGAAAAACATTCTACACTTGCCCTTTAAAAATGAGTGCATGAATGGACTCTGACAGAATTTGAGTAAACGGCACAATAGGGGGGAGGGTGATTAAATCTATGCTAAACCTTTTTTATTTATCCATCCATCCATTTTCTGATCCGCTTTTTCGTCACAAGGGTTGCAGGGCGTGCTGGAGCCTATCCCAGCCATCGGGCTAGGCGGGGGGGACACCCCGAACCGGTTGCCAGCCAATCGCAGGGCCCTTTTTATTTATTCATTTATTATTTTTTACATACATACATTTGCTATATCACTGTCACTGTTTGCATATCTGAAATGAATTGATTGAAATAAGGGAACAAGTTTTTTAAAACGCTAAAGCAAAATGCCATGAAATACAATAAACATAATAACAATGTGAGCGGCGCAGTGATGCTCACCTGCACGGTCTGATACTCTGAATGATAATGATACCCACACCATTGGCCACCTTGTCCGTGAAGCTCATTGCTCCATAAACAAAAGCTGCACTTTGCTGCAAAGAATACACACACACACACACACACACAAAGTGAAGGTTCAGAGACTTGACATGACATCACTCTTACAGCAAAGCGCAGTGCGAGGAAATCTATTGATGCAGTAGATGTCTGATTTTTATCTTTTTTTTCCCCCTGTGTGGGAAGATGGAACGGGTGCAAAAGTATGCTCATAGGAATTGAATATAGAATGTTCAACTTGCATGCACTACTGCAGAGACAACAGGAGAGGCATTATATCACATTTCCTTGACTATGGGGAAGATTAATCTGTTGTTTTATTCTTAGTAATAACCTTTACAATACCACACTGCTAGGGGGCAGTGCTGCCTCAACGAGGGGGAATGAGAGCACGCGGTTGGGGGAAGAGTTCAGTTGTCGTACAGTTGGTGAAGGTGAGCGGTTGCGAAATAAAGAGTTCTTCAATCATCATACAAGTGGAGTTATTATCCAAGTTAACATAATCAATGCAATGGCTGAATTATTTTGGTATCATTTTAATAGGATGGGAATAGCTTTGAGCACTTGTTTCCATGCCAGAGTTGATGATATGGCTTGGATAGCGTAATCTATACAACAAAACCATTCTGGTCTTGGCTGTTTTTTTTTAGAGCAGGGGGATCCTGATGATAATATTTATCACATTTTTTATTTAGGCTTCAAGTCATAGATGTTTGGGAAACAATGTTTATGAAGAACATTATTCACCCCCCCCCCAAGAGCCCAGCCATGACTCAGCAGAACAAATTCTGCTTATCTGTCTCCGCAAGCTGACATGGGTGTCAGTTTTCGGGCGCGTCTTCCCCACACTTACCGTCTGCTCCCCGATGAGTTTGGCGGTCATGGAGAGGGACATGACCAGGATGACAGCGGAGCCGGCTCCCAGCAGCACAGTTGCGCCATAGATGCTTTCAGCTCCCATGTTCTTGTCAAAAAGCACCCAGAGGGCAAAGCTGATCACCAGCAGCAGGCCGACAAAATACATGATCTGAAAAGTACAGTGTATCTCTCTAAAATATCATACATTCATTACATGATCGTTGACTGTCACCACAAGAGACCATTATCAAAACTACTGCAAAAACAAATACAAATTGTTGTATAAATTATGTGAAATAAATTAACTGTTCAGTTTTGAGCCTTGTTTTGTTGATTTCAAAAGTACCCAACTCATCGACCGTATGTATGAAAATACTTTGGTGCCCGTTGAAGATGTAGTTGGCAGCCATCTGCAAGTGCTCTTCAAGAGCTCTGCTTTTTTTTTGTCATTTTTGTCTTTTGTTTTGTCATATGGAGTTTGTTGTGCTCCATGTGGACCCATTGTGGACCGTTTTTTAGCGTTTTGGCCACGACATTCGCCAAAGGAGCAGAATCTGCGCTTGTTGGTTGCGCCTTCTCGGCAGCACGCATGTAACAGAACTGATTTTGATGGGGGAATGTCGGTGCTATTTGACTGTCGTCAGTTGACAGCTCCGAGGTGCTTGTGTTTTTTTTTTGCGCCTGTAATGGGCAGCATTCTTCACGGCCCCATTTTGTTCAGCGGAGATATCGGCGCTGTTGGACAGTCTGCATTAGTGCAATTGGATGGATGGTTGGTGGGGCTCGGAATGATGAGAGAGGAGCATCGGCGCGTTGCACGGATGTGTATTTGGACCTGAGAGTCGGCGCTTGGAATTGAAGCGGATTTGCGTAGGGGAGAAGAAGTGAACCAATCTCTTTTTTTTTTGTCAATGGACGCGACAGCTTCTCGTTTACTTTTAAATTTAGCTCATAGCAGACGTGTGGGACGTCACGCACGGTTTCAGCATGACGTCTCTGACCCACTGGTGAAAGGACACTTTGATTCTGTCCTGTTTCATCTATAACTGCTGCAAACAACAAGGCGTATGCAGGAAAAGTAAGTACACTCCACCGGACAGTACATTTAGAAGGTACACACTGACTATTTCAACCTACATCGTAGCCAAATGTCCTCGCTTCAGTGTATATCGATATTTACCAAAAATGGGGCGTGTCATGATTTTGTCAGATATTGATTACACAAAAACATTCAACTGAACGGATTGCAAAGTTATTCTACTCACAGTGATGCCGACAAACTTGCTGATTGGCTTCATGGTCAGCGAGCTAACGAAGCCGCTGACATACATCACAAGCGGAATGATGGCGATGTATTTCTGTGAGACATCAAGGTACACGTTAGAGAAAAACAGACAGAAATCGCATGCTGACGTGAGGCAATCTCTTACCTTTGGCAGCAAGAGTGAGTTAGTGAGGTAAACAGAGATGTACGACTGGGACAGGTTGACAATGAGTCTCGTGCACATGTAGAGGAAGGCCACCTTGGATGAAAAGTAAAGTGAATGAGAATTAGTCAGCTTTGCGGCGTTTTTTTTAAACAGTATGTTAAGCATTTGCAGTTTTGGTTTTTAAAAGGTCTTTTGTCCTGCATCCCGATTCAGAGGACGAACTGGCACTAAATGCACAAAATCATTTAATAGGATCATTTGACCTTGTGACAGGGGCGCCACCAGGGCATTAGGCCACGGGAAAAAAATTACTTTGGACCCTCAACCTCAAAGCTTCCAATTGAAATGACTATTTTCCAGGGCAGTGATTCCCCATCCATGGTGCCATGTCACTTAGTGTGCCATCACAGGTGTAGGAAAATTATCTGCTTTCACTAACATTTGTCTGAAAATGATTACTTATAAATGACAAATGTATCTTTATTCATATACTGTATAATGCAATCGACTGGTAGTGAAAGGCAGAACAAGTTGCTCTTCCATGAGTGAGCAGAAGGCACAAAATTCATCTATTTACCATTCATACAACAGAATAAGTCATGGTTTCTTGCAAGTCTTTCAGCTTTGACTCATGTATACAGTATTCTGAATCAGTATTAGTCATTTTGGTACCTGTCATCACACAGAAACCCATGTTCTCATTGTCACTAAGTCATGACCCACTTTTAAAGATGTTAAGACCAATAAATAAAATTTCTTGTTCAAAATTTGAGAACATACTGCATGTACAGTAGAATATATGTTTAAACTAACTACACGTGCTTACATGTGCCTTTCAGAGGACTTGAATAAGAAGCAGGACGAAGATGACAATTCTGTACATCATATGGTAAAATTAATCACTATTGTATAAAATACGGCCGCAAAATTGAAATAATACCTTGGCAGTGATCTCATCCTTTTATGTAAGTTCTTATAATATGTACTGTGTTGGAACATCTCTGTGTGGTCGAGAGGCGTACTAACTACGAATGCATGTACCGTTAAAAGGATCCATTAGAAATAAAGTTTCTGACGCACGCCTGTAAAACTAATGTCGTTTACAAAATGAAAGGCAAATCAGACCCGACATGCATGCATGCAGGTTTTCAGTTCACAAGGGAGCTCCACTACAGCAGTGACTTAACCTGAATTTGTGTTAAGAGTCGATAACTAACCTACCCAACCATCGTAGTGAAGTCATTACCACAGTAAATATTTGGGCCGAAAACACTTCTAGGCTGTACAGTAAACATGAAAAACAGTCAGTTGCGGCAATAACTGAGCATGCACTCCTGTGCTGCGTGACCACCTTTTCTTAAGCCGCTGCACTTTTCTAGTTCATTGCGCGCTACTCGTAACATAAAATCCCTTGTGAACAGAGGACCCCCCTGTATTTTTTACGAGCTGTTTCTGACCCGCTGATATGATAATGATCAAAATGTGCTGTTTTCCTCACAAAATACTCCGTTTTATAACATGTTGATTCGATGACACGCCGAGGCAGATGCTGTATAACGTGTTGTTGTCAACGAGTTCCCGTTTCACAGGAGCCATCGGACTTCATTTCTCATAGGTAGGGCCAGATGGCTCCTGTTTCCCAGGACCGGTCTCATGACAACATAACAGAATTGCGTGAGAAAGAGTTGGTCAGCATAATAGTTTGTGAAACGCCAGTTGATAACGAAACAAGTGTGGCGCAATTTGTTAGTAGCAGATTTGTCTCTTGTGCTATCCAATGATGCTGTGACATATTCTGTGGCGCTAATAAACGTGCAATTTGTTAGTAGCAGATTTGTCTCTTGTGTTATTGAATGATTGTGTGACATATTCTGTGGCGCTAATAAACGTGCAATTTGTTAGTAGCAGATTTGTCTCTTGTGATTCATTTCTGAGTGCCTATCTCCAACGATCCTATTCTAAATTTGATACTGAGCCAGGGCGAGGTATCAGAAATGTTTTAAAACACCCGCCCATCAGGATCCACAACATACTTTTAGATTTTGATTGGCCTGTTGAGAGTCACTGGAGGGCACCTGCCAATCATGGGCCCTTAGGGTCATCATCATAACCTCCCTGCCCCACCCTTGTCTTATGATGTCAAATGCAGTTGGTGTGGTTTGGCCCGAGGTGACGTTGAGGCTGACGTCATGGGGAAAATAAACGATGCAATAGACCAGTGTTTCCCAACCTTTTCTGAGCCAAGGCACATATTTTAAGTTCGAAAAATCTCCACGGCACACCACCAAACAACATTGTCACAAAAAGACGATACATATGTCAATTTCATACTTTTTTCCATCTAATAGAAGATCATTTATTGGCTCTTTCTGTCACTATAAATTGCTGGCATAGGTAGATGGACAAAGATACATTATTTGTTGTGAATAAATAATTTTCCCGCGGCACAAAAAGCTCCCACGGCACACTAATGTGCCCGGTATACTGATTGGGAATCACTACAATAGACAATGCAGACTCCAACAACGGCCTTGAACGACAGAATTGCGAAAGAGACCTTGTGACCAATTGACAACTGTGCTGCCCAGAAATATGTTTAAGCTAATAAAACAGGAAACTTGATTAATATATAAAAAGTATCATTGTAATGAAATGTGTAATTTAGCATTGCGCTACTTGCAAGTATTAGTGAAGGGGCTGTCACCTGGTAGAACGAAGGCTCTTTAAGCCAGTGCTGCCACTGCAACACTCGAACACGCGGCGCATCCTCATCTGGAGAAGGTGCGAGCAGTGGATCGTCTCCTGACTTCTCCTTGATGCCAATGTGAAATATGAAGGAGAACACTGCTCCAACACCCAGCAGAGCGAGAGCCAGTATCTGTTGTGCAGAGGAGAGCTCAGGTAAACATAGGAAGTGTGACAGAAGGTGCATGTACAATGAATATCTTAAGCATTGCTACAACTTTTTTTTTTTTACTTTTTACGACAGCACCGACAGTGACTGGCTCATGCCATCCCTTAATTTTCAACAGCACTTAAGCACTACCAGTACCAGGCAGCACGACGTCAAGCCGAGGTGCCACCCCGTGAAGACTTGGGGTGGCACTGCACTACACCACTAGCGCCACTTGCGCTCTGATGCAGGGGTTCTCAAACTGGGCTCAGGGAATGGGGAAATAATTGGATAAATGATGTCAAATAAATTTAGAAAAAGTGCAGAATGTCACGGGGAGGGACGTTCCATACATCTGTCTTACATACTAGATATGTGTGCTCCTAATCTATCGCTTTCCGGCTCTCCGCCCTCAGTGAACACAACTTTTGTTTGGTTGCTGCATTCACACATTACTGCATGTACTTTGCATACACTTCAGATATTTACACGCTCGCATCCCATACACCTTTTTATTGTTTAGGGCAGGGGTCGGCAACCCAAAATGTTGAAAGAGCCATATTTTCTTTGGACCAAAAAAAAAAACCCCACAAATATGCCTGCAGCCGCAAAAAATTAAAAGCCTTATAATGAAGGCAACATATGCTGTATGTATCTATATTAGCAATATTAGCCTACTATTAACATGACTAAGTTGGCTACAAATACACAAGCATTCATGATTAAATGATTTTTCCCCCTGCAGTTCATCCTGCAGTGCAGGGGTGTCCAAACGTTTTTGACGGAAGATCTACTTTTCGTTCAACCAACCTCCCACGATCGACCCGTTAGCGCACACGCGCATACACACACACTTACACACGCATGCCGTAATGAGAAACAGCCATAACGACCGCGAAGATGAATGAGGCATGGGAGTGGGTGTCGCAGGCGATGACGCAAATCCTCATTGACGAAATGTTGAAATGTTATTTTATTTGACACATTTTTACAGCATTGGAAAACGTTAATGTTTCTCCTCTTATAGAAAACATATTGAAACAAAAACATCTTTTTCCATTTTCAAACATTTTTGACAAAGCTCCAGGGAGCCACTAGGGTGCGATAAAGAGCCGCATGCGGCTCTTGAGCCGCGTGTTGCCGATCCCGGGTTTAGGGCAACTCATTATTTGCAAATAAGCATTCAATTGGCCTATGTTGTTGTTTGCATCCGCTCATTTGAAAGGTGGAGGCTCGTCCGAAGTTAAGTGTTTGGAAAGTAGTTTCCTGTCTACTAATTTTGGTGGTGTTTGTAGTTTGGCAATTTTGTTCTTTTTTGTGTATTGTTGGTTGGAGGTCAGGGGTTTTGTTTGTCCAATAGAAGCAATTTCTACACCTATCTCCTATTAGGGAGAACGTATGCGCTTCCTGGGCCTGGCGGTGTACTATCGTGCTTTCTGTGAAAACTTTTCTCATGTAGTATCCCCCCTAACCAATCTGTTCAAGGATAAGGCAGAGCTCATCAGGTCCACCCGGTGTCAGGAGGCTTTTGAGGCAGTTAAGGCTCTACTGTGTTCTGCTCCTTTGTTGGTAGCCCAACATTTTGGACGGCCTTTAAAGTTGCAGGTAGATGCCACACAATTGGCGTTGGGGTTGTGCTTTTGCAACAAAATGATGAGGGGATAGAGTTTCCTGTTAGTTTCGTCCCACAGAAATTTAATAAAACTATTGGGTTATTGAAAGGGGGCTTTAGGTCTTATCTGGGTTTACAGCACTTCGAGGTCTATGTTGGTTTTGGTGTGACTCCATTAACTTTACTTTTGACTGACCATAATCCACTTTGTGCCATTTCACGTAAACCTGCCATCACTGAATCTGTCACTTTGCTCGAAAATCACTCGGTGTGCACTAGTTCCAGCAAGCGACGTGAGATGAAGATTTAAATATGTGAAGTGGTGCTCATCGCAAATTGGCAAAACTGAGAAAATGTGACTATTTATTGAAGGTTGAAGCTGGAAAAAAAAAAGATATTCGGATGGGATTGACTGAATTTGGACGATTCCAGTCCTTTGATTCAATTCTGATTCTTAAAAAAAAAAAAAAAAAGAGGAAGTGAACCAGACATTTTTGGATGAAATCGTAAGAACTTCTGTTCTTTGATTTCATGAATTTTACCCTTTGTAAACTATGAGTTGCTGAAAGGGTTATTTTCAACCAGTGTTTTAATTTTTCACAAAATAGCTTTATTTTTGATAATGGCGAAATACAGCAGCAGTTATTAAAGCATGTTACAAAAAAACTTAACCGAGGGCTGTTTTTCTTTAAAAAGAAAAAAATACATATGACAAACACAAAGTTGCAATCATATGTATGTATGTATGTATATGCTGTGTATGCTATAGTCTAAATATTAGCTGGACATTTGAATTTCTGTGTTGACTCACTGATTTAGTTCCAGTTTAACTTGTTTTTAATAATTATGAAATTATTAAGACAGTCATCTGCAGAATAGGTTGAAAATTATTTAGAAGACAGGTGCTTTTTTTTTTTTTTTTAACAGAGAGGCTACAGTAAATGGACATTTTAAAGTGAAATGTAATTATTTTCCTGTGGTAAGGAGCAGAAAATATCATTTATTCTCGCTGCTGCTTTTCATTCAAATTTTATATTTTCATGTCAATATACCCGTTTTTTTTTTCTTTAATGTAATGAAAAACATTTTCGAAAAAGTTAAACTCACTAGCTAATAGCAGAGCGGATCAACGGAATTCATAACATTGTTTTCCCCGGTAACATCATATTTGTCTGACTACTTGTGGCTAAGCAGAATTCATGGCGCACATCACTTGGGGCTGAGCAATGAAAGAAAAAAAAAAACTGTCACGCTCAGTTGACTATGACGACAGACAATGCTACATTCCAGATGACTGGGAAGTCAAAAATGTCCATCCTGCACCTATGAAAAGCACACTGGAACGCCACTCCAATCTTACCCTAAACAGAGGAATGTCTTCCTTGCCCAGGTTGTCGGTGAAGTCCTCTTGGGCCAGGAAGTGAAAGAGCAGAAAGGCCACCGTGTACACGATGATGTTGGCCATCACACTGAAGGCATACCTGTCAAAGAGGCACAGCAATACATTCAAGTGACTTACTTCTTCAGCTTTAAAACCGATATATTGACATCACATCTAATACGTATGTATGTATATTTTTTGCCAATATTATAGAAAGCCCCATGACATTGACATCAGACACTTCAAGTTCCTCCCAAACAAGAAAGAACTGAATGACTAAAAGACACCGGATTCTTTTTTTGTCAACTTTTGTCTCATGACACGTATCCACACATGACGAAATAGTCACGTAAACTGGCAAACTAAGAAAGGGAACACAATGTGGAATGAGTAAGTGCTGCTATATCAATAAAATGAACATTTCTTCATGTGAGCTTTTCTGGTTTGCGGTGGATTTTTACGAAATGCTGATCAAACTAAAATTCTGAATGATACATCGGCTTTCTTATCTCATTCAGTACCAGCCATTTTCAGACCCGTATAATTTTTTTTTTTTAATTGACTTTCAGGGATTGAATGTGTGAAGTCTGAAAAGACAAATATGTCTTTGGGAGTGAATGAGTTAAAAGAGTAAATCAATGCGATTGTCTCATAGTCACCGGTCATGCTGAAAGGTTAAATGGAAATAAAAGCACACCTGACCACAAATAAAGTGAATGATTAACCCCAAATAAAGTTCAGCTGATCTCGTAAGATTGTGCTGGCGTGGGCATCTTTCTAAATTTTAAAAGCCACAACCAGCGTAAAATGGTTTAGCGCAGCAGTGTCATACCCTCATCGTAGTTCTGCTTTCCTTCAGAGGGCCGTAATGATTGCCTCATGTTATACGTACGCAACAAATTGATGTATAACTAGTTTGGAAATCGGAGGCCAGTAAAAAATAGTTGTTCAAGTATTCCATTTATTTATAAATTGGGAGCCAAAAAATATGTGAGCGTTTTTGAAAGTGAAGAACATTTGCAATGTTGGTATTTTAGAACGAGACAAGAGGTCAGTGCATATGATTTGCTTTTGTAGGCCACATAAAAATGATGTGGCGAGCCACTTGAGCTTGACAGCCGTGGTTCAGAGTCTTCACCTACTCTAACTGTGTGTCAGAGGTCAAGGTTAGCGGTTTTGATCCCCAAGAGTCAAAATGCCACCAGTTCCACAGGCCCACCGCAAATAGTGAAATGAAATCTGAACATAAATCCACTTCTGTTTGCCACAAATGTTCTCTCCCCTCCGGATACATCATACTTCTTTTTTTTTGGGGGGGGAGTACTGCATGCAGTTGTTATACTGGTAATGCTCCTTTTCTAGTCTATGTGCGCCCTGGGCGAGATTTTATATGGTCCCCCCCCCCCCTCCATCGACGATTTGCATGCGCTTCCAAAAGTCAAACAACATCAGTTTTAACATAGCCTTTAATTTAAAAGTTAACGTCACACAATTAAAAATATGGAAGTGGGACTTGTTTTTCTATTTCATGACGGGATTGTTATTGTTAAAACAAATCATGAAAGTGACTTGCTGTTGCAGCACCGAATTGGATAAACCAAAAAGAGCAACAACTTGACCTCTCTTGCTCCCATTTTGGGCAGTTTTGGTCATTTTGACATCTTTACAAAGTTCTTTAGGGTCACATCAATAAATCCCCCCCACCCCCTGCAAAAGTATTTACATTTTATTCTATGTTAGCTGTCAGAGTCAGTTGTTACGTTATTGCAAAGATGCTCAGCTTCCCCATTGGAAAGAGTCATTCATCCACAGAAGATTTTATTGGGATTTGACTAAGATCAAGCAACATTTTCCTTTTGTCCGTTTTTATTTGAGCAGTTTGATAGATTATCAAGATGTTTCATTCCTCACATTTGTCACTGACAATAAGGTGCACTGAAGTACAATTGCATTTGATTTTGAGAAAAATCTGCAAAAATGACACGAGAAAACGTTATTGTAAAAAAGTGGCATGCAAACATGATGTACAAAGTTTGAATTTTTATGACCAAGCGCCAACCTTACATTTACTCCTTTCACTTTTCTGCCCAACAAACGAGGCTGTCACTGTTTTAACTATTTAGTTAGACATTAAATAAATTAATGTTTCTAGATGTTCTTGCTGCTCTTTAATATGACAGATTTTACGAAAAAAATGATTTTTCCAAATTGTACTCAACAACCGAATACTTTTCATTTACGACTAGCACATCCTAATTCTAGAAATTCAACACAGGTAACACACAGCGCCTAATTACATTGCAGGAGAACTTTCACCCGATTTTCGGCACCCTCAGCATTTGCCTCTCTCGCCCACTAGGTGAGCTGGTCTGCCTTTAGGGCATCCGTGATGATGTCATAAGCCCACCTGTACGCAGTGAGTTCCACCTTTGCACTCTCACTGGCCACCAGCTCTGGAATGAGGGCGAGATGTGAAATCTGAGTGGCCGCCCAGCCAAACTGGAAGATGACGATGAGAGGGGCGAAGTAGATGACCTCGGCCCATTGTGGGGTGCTTGTCGAGCAGGCCAGGCAGGGGTTGAAAATGAAGGGAAAAGACAGGATAACACAGATGGTTCCTGGAAATGGGGAGAAGTGCAGAATTGTTGGAAGAGATGGTTTCATCAGAATAAAAACTGATTTAATTGTCATTGTCAGTGAAAGGTACATTCACATCTAGGTTTTTTTTTTCTTTTCAATACAATACAATCCCTTGCTATGCAAGATGTGAACCTTTGGCGTCGGGTTTTACTTTAGCGTTAAGGGATTGTATCTAGGAAAATGTCATGTGCTGCACAAAGATGAGTCATCTGACTGTATGATCAAGAAAACAACCATCCATTAGTGTCCCATGGTGATTTCATAAGATAACTACATCACATTGAGACACCTTACTTCTTGTTTCTCGCAATTGTGCTTTTGGGGCAAGCTCGCTAACCCGCCAGCAGCAGTTTGGGCATTTGAGGACAATATTCATGCAGCTATTGAACCCAAAGCAAGTCATTTATTATTAGAGACCGTGATCCACAAAATTTGACATCTTTTCATTTCTTCAATTTTTGCTCAAATGAGTGTCTTCACAAGACGTACATCAAATATTATACTCTTTTTAGTTTTGTTTTTTTTCAGGGTGAAGAATGAAAACAATGTGCAACATGCCTTTTCAAAGAGAAGTCAATACCAATAGAACATTACAAGTACAGGTTTGGATTTGGCAAAAAACACTTCTCAGAGGGAGGCGAAAAGGGAAACGTGTCGTGTCACCGACGTAATTGAAAATATTTGTCGAGCCTTGTAAAACAGGTTCTAAAAATGTAGGCATTTGGTAATATAAGGATTTTCAATATCAAGCTCATTTAATTTCATTTGCTTTGGACAAATATTGGAGCACCGCGAATTGTACAATTAAATAAATTCAGTCTCAAACAAAGTTGACATCAATGGGTTGAATATGCAGATTTTAATTTGGTTGTCCGTTTTTCTTTTATCGACACAACACAGCTCGAGGCCACGTTAAAAGGTAATCAGTATGTAGACTAACTCGCCCCTTTCCGACATGATTTCTCGTCCGTAGCAGGACTTGGAGGAGGTTGTATTCAACAACAAGTTTGAGTGTATTTTTCGACCATATGATTACACTGGATTTACAGCAGTATGTAAAAATGATAGGTCATCATCAGAGCTGATCTTGACTAAACGAAGGAGGGGTTCTCTAACTTTTTGGCTCCAAGGACCATGTACCTTGGATGATTTTTTTTTTCCCCCCAAGGACCAAAAAAAAAAAAAAAACAACCCCATATTCTTAACGCCAATCACATATAACTATTATATACGCTCAATAGGAATTGAAGTTAACAATGACAAATTCATCTTCTGGAGGAAATAAAATGTATATTATTTTTTTCAAGGAAAAAAAAGAGGCAATATTGGCAAAAACAAAGTATTTATTTTTCCAAAACGTCACATGATATAATACTAAAGTGAATGTCTAACGGGGGGGGGGGGAACTCCCGTTTTAACAAGAAAACAACTTTATTCTTTAATATTAAGCCTTTTATTCCGGAAAAAAAAAGACTTATTCCTACAATATGTCTTTTGTTCTAAAAATACAAAACCAAAAAAGACTTTATTAATCTAAGGATGTCAGATATATGTGATGTGTCATAATATTTAGAGAGCTTCACCTTCATGTTGGTGTGCACTTCTTTTTTTAATCATAAGATATAATGCTATTTATTTTGCTTAGCCCCAACCTACAGCTCAAGGACCCTCACAGGTCCCCGAAGCTCAGTTTGAGAACCATCGGTCCAAACTACCTTTTTTTCCACAGCAGTCCTTTGAAAAACATATTTTAAAAAGTAAATATCAGGCCATACAAATACTCTCCTCTCATCAAGTAGAGTTTTCGGGTACCTGTACTTTATTTTAGTATTTCATTTTTCTGACATTTCTTTAATTTTACTCCCTACATTTGAAAAACACTGCTCCTGATTTCATGAAAGGAGGTTTGTTACTTTTTTTTGGTAACCTCTACGGATGGTGACATGATATAAAGAGATTGTTAACAGACGGTCAACTATGGAGGACATTTTGATTCATTGACTGACTAGAATATTTAGGACGAATAAAAAAAGCAACACGAAGTAACAGAGATCAGGGAGTGTTAACAACAGTGAAGCACAATATTCTCTCTTGATGGCCTTTAAGAGAATTGCTTGATGTTGGTGACAAGAATGATTCACGGCAAATGCATTGGGTCTTATGACAGCCTAAAAACAAATACTTTCTGACACTGAAAAATGCTCGATCTAATCTGGAGAAAAAAAACAACAACAAAAAACCCATGATACAAATAGGGTGCATCTGTTGTCATCAACATTAACCATGTTTTTTTGTTAGTTGACAACTTTCACAAAGCTTTTGATGGCAAAACTCCTGAGCTGACGTTTACTAGCTTTATGTTTTTTCCTTCTCAGTACGACCACTGTGTAAGGACAACGATAAATGCTTTTTTTTTTCATTGTGCCCCTCCTCAAAAAATAAAAAATAAAAAAAATCAGGAGAAGCCCACCACATCACTTTAGTGTCCACTTTGTTTATTGCAAAATGACTTACCGTTAATTATTTTCATTTTGACAGAAAACCTAAACCAAAATTGTGATTTTTCTTCACTGAACAGACAGTACGAATATCTTTATCCTTTAAAATAAATCAATCATACGGAAGAGGATTATACAGAAGAGGATTAGGGCCAATGAAGAAAACAAAAAAACAAGGTTGGCAAAATTCTCACTTTAAAGTGAGAATTCTGATTTTATTCTCAGATTTCTGACTTTAATCTCAGAATTCTGACTTTAAAGTCAGAATTCTGACTTTATTCAGAACTTTAATCTCAGAATTCAGTCAGAAAGAGAATAAAGTCAGAATTCTTTATTCTCTTTCTGACTGAATTCTGAGATTAAAGTTCTGACTTTATTATAAATTCTGACTTTAAAGTCAGAATTCTGAGATTAAAGTCAGAATTCTCACTTTAAAGTCAGAATTCTGAGATTAAAGTCAGAATTCTGACTTTAAAGTCAGAATTTTGCCAACCTTTTTTTTCTTACAATTATTGATAACTTCTTATTTCTCATTCAATTAGTTGTTAACAATACACAGGACATAATTAATTGCAGGGACAATTGTGTACAATATATTTTTGTATTAATATAAATTAAATGGCTTTCAACCCAGCCGCTGGGGAGCAGTGCCCTCCCCTGGGGGTGCACTGTTCCCCAGTGCCGGTCCCAAGCCCAGAGAAATGGGGAGGGTTGCGTCAGGAATGGCATCCGGCGTAAAACTTTTGCCGAGACGACCATGCGAGTTGGTAGGACGGTTTACAGGGGCAGTTGGAAATTACTGACTCGCTATGGCGACGCCTGAATAGGGACGTGCCGAAAGGAGAATAGGAAGATAAATTAAATGGCTTTCACTCATAACAGCCCTCTGAGGGAAACCAGAATTTCGATGTGACCTGTGACAAAAAACAGTTGGACACAATTGGCCTACTGGATTGTTGAGTACATACAGTACCCTCCAAGTCAAGTTAAGCTCTTTTGACACTGCACTCTCTAAGTGTAAAAGGCTTGCATGGCAGGGAGGAAAGACGATGGTACCCTGGTTGGAAGTGTGCCCATATTTGTAAGTGCTGACTAGCAGCCTAGCAGGAAATAAGCAATGAGACTTTTGCTGCTGGTTTAGATGAGAAGTAGACAGCATCTTGCCAAGATGTATCCTTCACTGTTGAAAAAGAAAGCCCTGGTCATGCTCATTTTAAGAATAGGGAGGAGAAGACCAGCAGCAGAAAAGGGAATGGGTGCATCCTTTTACAAATGGCTCGGCAGGAACTTGGGAGAGTTTGATCTTGCTCGTCAACTACAGTGAAATAAAGACCACTTTGAGGTATATTTCAGGCTGAGCAGTGTATTGTTAAACATGTCACTGTATGTCATCTGTCGTGTGTCCCAAATCGTGGGACACTGAGACACTGCATTTCCTAAGGCTTCTTCCATATTCCTTATGCAGTTACCTGCAAAAGAAAATCCTCAAAATAGCAACAAATCGCTCCGACAACCCCTCTCCTATTGGGTGGTGTTTTCTGACATTTTGGTGACACCGCAGAGGACACATAAGATGGCACGCTTCTTAAGGAGATGTATGATGAAAATGGCATTTTAAATTCCTTATGCAGTTACCTGTAAAAGAAAATCCTCAAAATAGCAACAAATTGCTCCGACAACCGTTCTCCGATTGGATGGGCTTTTCTGACATTTTGGTGAGGATTTTTAATTTTTTTTTTTTTTTTTTTTTTTTAAATCAAGGTGCCTTTCCATCACGGCAAAACATGTAGCGCAATGATGGGCCATTGAAACGATTGAGGGCGCAACCATTTTTCGCCAGTGCTATGGGAGGCGGGGCCACATAAGGTGGCACGCTTCCTAAGGAGATGTATGATGAAAATGGCATTTTACTGTAAGTAAGGACAAAAATATGTGTAGCAGATCCGCCTCAAAATGCACAGGTCATGGGTTCGATTCTGGCCTCAGCCTTCCTGTGTGGAATTTGCATGTTCTCCCGTGCCTCCATGGGTTTTCTCCGGGTACTCCAGCTTCATCCCACATTCCAAAAAGATGCACGGTATGTTAATTGGTCACTCTAAATTGTCCTAAGGTGTGATTGTGAGTGTGAATGGTTGTTTGCCAATGAGTGCCCTACTAGTTCAGGGTGTATGAATGAAGTATTGATAGGCCACTGTGAGTGCAGAAGCAGGCCATATGTGGCCATTGTAGACTGCAATCAGAGGGAATGAAACTCATGACCGCCTGTATCCCAAATGCAAATATGAAAAGATCTTGAATATTTTAATTAGAACTGAATGTATTCTATAGTTTGATAATGTATTACTGTTTTATGCTTGATCTTATGTACAGCACTTTGTTGCAGTTGTGTGTTTTAAATGCCACGAATTGTAAAATAATATTTTAGATATTTATTTTAATATTTTATTTATAGTGTTTTGTGTTCGATCATATGCGCGGCATTTTCTTACAGCTGTGGTTTTCTTTTTATAGTGCTCTATAATTAAAGATGAGTTGAGTTTCGACCAGCTGACACTTTTAGGAAAAAAATATATGCATTTAATGCTTTTAAGAGTAATAAAAACAAGGGGTAAAAAAAGTCCTGCCTGAAGTTGTCACAATTCGTGCATGGGAGCGTTAAATAGTGGTTTGGGCTGTACTTTTACCTAAGTAAAGCATTTTAATTAGGACTCGCGACTTCTCCCGCCACAACCTTCTCTACTTGTACTTAAATAATGATCGCACGTACTCTTGCCACCTGCGGTTACATTTCAATCGACAACCAAATCCCAGTGTTCTCGTCCCTTTGCGTAGACTAAAACAAACGCTCGCATTACTCACCCAACAAATGCCAGCTTTTTCTCTTGCCGTGTCTCAGGCCGGGAGTTCTGTCGGATTCAAATCCAATGATCGGAGTGCACACTCCATCAGCCACCTGTCCGATGAGCAGCAGCACGCCGGCAAAGGTGCTCCGGAGGCCCAGGACCGAGTGCAGGTAGACCAGCAGGTAGGTGAACCACATCGAGGCACACAAATCATTGAGAAAATGCCCGGCGGCGTAACACAAACGCCGGCAGAGCGACAAGGTCCTTATCTCCCTCTCGACCGGGTCACACGGCTCCATGACTTGGACGGGTGATTAAAGTGTCTTTATTTACAATTTAGAGATATGTCCTTGTCGTATTTACAAATATACAATACTTACACTAAAATCAGGAACACGTACAATCCACCTTGCTACGCTTTCAGGAAAATCTGCGGCGTTAAGCATCTAATCAATTCATCGTTAGGGATTATGACACAGTGGTCCCCACCTCGCGAAAACTAATCCGAGATCAATGGTTGTAACACTTAAAAAAGGCCAAGGGATTCTTGAAGCGCTACATCAGACACTGAGGTGGAGCTTTCAGGGTCACGTTTCGATCCTCCACCTCCTAGGAATCGAAATGATAAATAGACCTTTGCTTAGAAACGCTTTAAGGCAGTGCAAACATGTATAATCACGCTCTGGGTTCCTTTCACTCGTGACCAAAAGTACTTCCTTTCTTTTCCGGACAAAGCACAGAGAACTCCAGCTGCTGACTGAGCAAAAAACAATCACCCGGTGAAACTTGCCATTCAAGTCTCAATTATGTTGTTCGCGTTTTCAGCGCTGGCTCCAAACTTCCGTTTTCGTGTCTTTTTTTTAACAAGCTTGTCGTCGTTCCACTTCTCCATTCGAATCACTGAGTCGTAACGAGACAAGTTCAACTCATCTCAAAACAGAAGCAACTCAAAAGGACACAGCAGCAGAACACTTGAAAGACAATCAATGTCCATGTTTGTCTAAACAAAGCCTCCAAAAAAAGTGCAAACGAAGTGTTTCGGAAGATGACGGTCAATTGCATGGCGGGAAATGAAGTCCAACGTGCTCTTCTGACGCCAACGTGTACCCCAACTTCCGTCGAAACAGCTGCACGACGCACACGTTGGCATACGATACTGCTTAATATCCCAAAACACAGCAATCCGTCCATACAAGTGTAAGTGACAATTTTAAGACAAACAACCCGAACAAAAGAAAAAAATCCCAGGTGCATATTGAGTGGAAACTTTCTCCGAGGGGCAGTACCCCCTCCCTCACACACGAAAAAAGTTTGCAGTCACATCCCACCGGATATCCTCCTGCATTGACTTCATGTGGAAAAACATGTCATAGAATAGTGAAAGCCTATTCCTTTTGTGCTGCAGAGGTTGGAATTTTCAATACTGCTTTGCATCGTTTCCCATTTTTTTTTGGGGGGGGGGTAGCTTTAGAAGCACTCTGATAGTGTAGTTTTGCACGACCACAAACCACAATAAACTGTTAAATACCTCTGTGTCAATCGAAACCAAATTGTACCTTCGTAATGGCAGACAAATGCCATACATACCTTTAGCTTGTGCAGCTGTACTTAAAGTTATTGTATGTCCTATACTTCCTTCCTATGTTGCCTTCCCTTGCTGTTGTGATGAGAACATGGTGGAAATTTGCTGTCTTGTTTTGTAGGTCCAAAGTCTCTCCAAAAAGTGATAAATGGGCTGAGATCAGGTGACGAATTCGCGCATACGCACGCGCACATGACCCATCTTTTACACGTCCAACATCGCGTCTGGCCACCTGGCATGTTCATTTTCTTTCTCCTCTCAATCCACGCATAATTTTTTATTGTCACCTATGTGTACATTTAGCTAAGACAAAGGATAAACTGAAATGAAACTGCATTTTGAAAGCAGCGGCCAATAATTCCCCAATTGTTTTATTCTAAACCAAAAAAAAAAAAAAAAGGTCAAGTTTTCTTCATCTGCAGCTAAGAAACTTGAACATGTGAATTGCACATAAGTGCACCAAGACTGTTTGTACAATGTTGCAATCACACAACACACCACTTCACTGATGTGGTGATAGTCCTGCTAGAGCGCAAAATCTATACTGCGTAGTGATCGTGACGTGCAAGTTCATTGACCATGCTTCACTTCCACAATAACTGCAAGTCTGTGCAGATAAACACACAGGCATTCACACATTGACACAGTAATCCTGTAAACATTTGGGATAAAATGTCATGGCGGGACACTTGTTGAGCTTTAAACATTTTACTTAGAAAGGCACAAACTATGATTTCCTGGTAAATTATTCTGATGTAAGAAATAAAAGTTGAAAGACATCTTCCCCAACGTAAAATCAGCATTTTCGGCCATAACTCAGATATAAGCGTCGTGAAGGACTCTTCCTAGATCAGTCTTTATTAAGTTTTGTTTTCGTAATTGTTAATTCCAAACCTAGTTTCCACTGTAATTGTTTTCTGATGTTTCCAAAAGTGCAATAATAGTAAGAGAGCTTAATATCTGTTTCTCTCGATCTTCCACAGTACCTGAGGCCAGTGACTGTGCTACAAAGTCCACGTCGACAGACAAAAAGAAAGCCAGAGGAAAGGGGGAAAAAAATGGAACTCCAGAACACTATAACATAAAAATAAGTCTTCAACGCAGGGATTTGACTTTGAAAAATGAGGATCCAATTACAAAAAAAGAAGAAAACAAAACATAAAAATCCTCCAAATTCTGTTATAGATGAAAAGCTTCCTGTCTCTCAGAATTAACATGATCATATTTTCACCTTTCCTCTTTACTTTGATCCCAAAACACACACCAAAGGAAGAAAAGGAAAGCAATAAAAAGTTTCTTAAGGAGCAGAATTCTGATGGTTCCCCCTGATCAACAGCTGTTTCACTGTTGGAACAACAAACCTTTATGGAATCTAGAATACAACAACTGTTTCAAACAGTATCTTTTTTTCATATTCACGCCACAGTTTCATTGTTACAGCTTTTTAAAACATTTTTTCCTTAAGCCCCCCAATCCCCTCCCTCTTTGTAATGCAGGCGAGTTTTTTTTTCTGCTGATCAAGGAATCAGAGTCTGTTGTGAGTCAGTATGACTGCAACATTCCTTGAACACGCCAGCAGCCAGGGAGCACTGAGAACGAGAAAGATAGAAGCAGGGGCAGGGACGGTGGAGAGTGAGGAGGAAGTAAAGTGAGGGGGTAAAGAGGTGAGGGGGAATCTGGGCAGAGAAATAAGGACAGGGAGGGCTCTGTGTAGTTGCTTCCATTTAAAACTTGACAGTGATAACAAGGTTTCAAGTTCTCTCCAATCGCTTCCTTCACTTATGCCTCTGGAGGGCTTTCCTCTTTCTCCTTTTGAAGAAACAACAGCACCTGGAGGATAAACAGATGAGACATTTTTGTTAAAAACAAACCCTCTTGTGTATACAATAGCTGGGGGGGGGGGGGCACTGCCATAATTAATCAAGAATGGGGCGCACACGTACCAATAATTGGACCACTTTTAAGACCTGATTGTCTGACATCTTTCGAAGACGATCCTGACCTTTTATCCTGTGATTTGGTGTGAGAGAAATCTTTCCTCCTCAGTCTGCTTGGAAGCCCGCCAGGGTTAACAGTGGTCAATATCAAACAGGTTCAATGTCTACTCATATATTGATCCCCTCCCTCCAAATGCTAGTCCAAGTCAACAGTTGACTCCTTCGGGTTGTCTTTGTCTATTACTATTATTGCTTCTTGTATTTTTTTTTTTTCCCTTTTGGATGTCCTGTGGCACCATGCTCTCTCTCTCAGGTCAGTCTCGATATTATGACACATTTCTTTGTTGGGGAAGGAGATTCACAATTATTGGTTTGGCTATTATCCTTATTGCATCTATGATAATCAGATTATATTAATATATTATATCCAAGCCTCTACCCTACTTACGAGGTCATCACTTCCACTGCTCAACCATTTCCATATCAGTCTCACTTTTCATGTTGGTAAAGTGAGTCAAAGTCACAAAATCACCCTTCAGGCACCTTAGAAATCAAATGTCGACAGAAGCTGCACAAATGTACATGTTCTCCCATATAATATCTCATACTATTTACTGTCTACCCACCTGAGCCACTGCAAATTCTACTGTAAATCTGGTAATATCCTCATACAAAGAAGCACTGTTGTAGGGTTATTAGACGTGTAATGTTGCTGTTTTTAAAAGATTGTATCTGTATTTTGTTTTTCTGTTAACTTATTTTTTTCTAGACTGTAAATCCAGACTCATCGCTGGACAAGCAATTGAGTCTGGTGTGTAGTCGCATCAAGCGCATTTCTGAGGCATGGCAAACCAGAGCAAACAGACAGCGAAGAGCGGACGTGATGTTGAAAAAAACCTCCACATCATCTTTTCAAATAAATACTGCCAGCTTCTAGGTCTTCCATGACTATGTGTGTTTCTGGTCATTTAAAACTGAATATAATGCTGAATGAAAAAAAAAAAAAAAAACTAGCATCTCTCCCTCACGCCATTCTGAATGTTATATGAGGATGGACTTTGGCAGCCAAAGAGTGACGTTGTTCACGATGGATACGTCACAGCAAGTAAACAAATTTGATTGGACAGTTCATTTTGAATCAAGCCCCAGCTGCGGTGAAGGGCTTGGTCTCCACATCCATTTTGTGAGTGTGGCTGACCAGGTTACATTGCCATGTTCCTTCTAGCAGGGGGAGTATCGATAGAAATTAACATTTTGGCTACAACTGGGTGACTATATATGCCAATTTAAACAACAACAATTTCATGATAAACAGGGATATACCTCAAATAGTGTTTCCCACAAAAAATGGTGGGTGGCTCACCCACCTCCTCCGCCCCCCCACCCCAAAAGAAAAATTAAAAAAAAGAAAGGCACTGTAGGTCTCATACTTGGTTTCGTCGGCCACTTCAACCTCGGTGGGAGCAGTGATGGGAGCATTGGAGTGTCCAGCTGTGGGATCATCAGTGTTCAGCTCGCCATTTGTTGAGCTCATCACCTGGAAACAAAGAGACCAAAGAGCTCAAAAAACACTCACACATGAGAGAGTAGGGCGAGAATGCAAAGACCCATATTCATACTGTATCTGTGTGCCAGCCATCTTTGAGCGGATCAAATTGTGCAGTCACTTGGGAGCGCTCCAACTAAAGCAACTTCATGGAAGCTTATGAGCTGCAGTACTATTGGCCGAACACTGGGTGGCATAATTGAGTTGCAGCATTAACAATGAAGGCTTCTGATTTCAGGAGCTCTACCAAATACTTATTCCAAGCAAATATGGGAAATGGCAATGGAATTGTAAATTGCTGCGAGGGAAAATAATTGATTTATTGTACAAATATATAAAGCTCCCTCATTGAGCTAACCGAACCATCATGTCATGACAGTTGCTGCTATATGTCACCTCTGCACGCCCCCTCACGTAACAGGCAATTAGCAGATGAAGCAAACTGCCGCTGTGAGCAAACAGAACGGACGCACAGGGATTCAGCCAGTTGAACGAACGCACACAGCAGAGGGTTGGAAAGAGCACAGGCAGCGTGAAGTGTGTGAGGGATGACAGCACCGGCACACGTAACCATACAGCTTCATGCACTAGCCATCCAAGCAGCAGCATTAGCAGCAGTACCTGGACAGAGCCCCCCAGCCGCTCAGCTGTGAGGTGCGACCCCAAAGTCTCCTTATTGGTCACAGGGGTGGGCTGAGACTCACTTCCTTTTGGCTCAGGCGACTTGATGCAATTGCAAAAAAAAAAAAAGGTTGAAGACGCAGGTGGTGGTGAAGGGGCAAGGAAGTGAGGGGATCAATGTGGTGGGAGTGGGGGTGAGGGTAGAGTAGTGAGGGAGAGAAGGGACAAGGAAGAGGTGGGGTAGGTGAGTAAAAACAAAAGAAAGGAAAACAAAAAGAAACAAAACAATTACAGAAGACATCTCCCAAGCAGAAGCAGGCTTGTTAAGACATACAATGTTAAATAGAGGAGAAGAGGGAAGCAAAATTTATATGAAGCACAGATCAACACAAGTCATGCAGGAGTAAAAGAAAAACAGCCTTGATCAAACCTACTGGCACTGAATGTTTAATAGACACAGCTATGTATGATGAGGCTGTTCTGTCAATTTACAAAGTGCCGTTAGAAAATTTGTAGTGCTTCCCCTTAGCCTATTTTAATGCTGAACTGTACTGGATCAGGATATTACAGTTTACAGCCATGGGCAATGTGCATGCCAGTGACGGTGGGGCGTGAGAGGTCACAATGTTTCATCGAGAGCAATAAGAGATGCAATTGATAGTAAGAAGCCGCCGACCATAAAATTCTAAATGAGACACCTCGTGTGTCCTTCATGGAAACAATGACTTGTATACTTGTATACATATCTGTGTTTATCAGAAATGTTTTGTATATTAGTCATTCTAAGCTATTTATCTTTTACTAAGACTAACAACAAGGTAAGGCTTGGATATGGCTGGTAAAATGGGGGGGATGGCGGGGGGGAGTCCACGCTCGGTCACACACTAAGCATATACTGTATTGTCAATACTGATATGAACAATGCAGTCTGTATTTTCAAAACAGGCATGCAATGACCAAAGCTTAGAGTGGCATGGTATCAGAAATAAAGTCAATACCGAAACAGTGATTTGGTTGACAGCTAGTGCAGCAAAATTCAACTCATGACTGTGCAGGTAAATGTAAACTGTCTGGCGGAGACTTGGAACAAATGACTCACTATTTAACATCACTGTCATTGCATTCGTGTGTGGAAATGAGTGGCAGCCATTTTCTCAAGGAAGTTGCTTACAGTTGGATTCAGCGAGAATAATCAGGAAGAGGAACTTGAATGACTGGGTTGGTTGGTCAGTCGGTTGGCGGACTGGCAAGAGTGTGTTGATTATGTAACATTGCTAATGACCTCACCTGGTTTTTGGTCTGCTGTTGTGCTTTGTCCCTGCTGCTGGGCTGCAGGGGAGCATCACTGGGGATAGGGCCTATTGGTGTGGGCTGCAACAAACACAAAAAGAGTCAAATACAGAACATCTGAACGAGTTGAAAACAGAGCACGGAATAACAAAGGAAAGGATGTTATATCCACTGCATCCGTCAAGTATTCACAGCACATCAGTTCTTCCACATTTTGATACGGCCATATTACACAATAGAATTCACTCTTTTTTTTCCCTACTAATTTATACACAGAGCACACCATAATGACAATGTGGGGGGAAAAAAGTTTTTGAATTTTGAATGTTTTTGAAAACAAAAAACCTCCCTCTGAAATCACATGAACGTATTCAGAGCTTTTGACACAAAGCTCAAAATTGAGCTCAGGCGCATTGTATTTCAACTGATCATTCTTGAGAGGTTCCTACGTCTTAATTGATAAGATAAGATAACCGTTATTTAATTGGAGTCCACCTGTGGTAAATTCAGTTGACTGCACATAATTTAGGAAGGCACACAACTCTTACATAAGGTCCCACAGGTGACAGTGGGCTGTCACTTGTATAGAGCTTTTCTATCCTCGGTACTCAAAGTGCGTCACAAAATTTCCTCATCTATTTACTCATGACCCAGGATCAGGATAAACTGGGGTTTCAGTTTCTTGCTCAAACACACTTTGACATGGTCACAATGGCCGGCGATCGAATCCCCAATCTCTTGGTTGGGAGACGGCCACTTTACCTCTGAGCCATGACGCCCTAAAGCACATGTCACAGCACAAATCATACATGAAAGTCAAAGGAATTGTCTGTAGAACTCCACGACTGGATTTTATCAAGGTGCAAATCTTGGGAAGGGTACAGAAACATTTCTGCTGCTTTGAAGGTTCCAATAAGCACATCAATCATAAACTATCAATCATAAAGGGAAGAAATTCCGAATCGGGATAACTCTTCCTAGAGCTGGCAGCTCGTCTAAAGTGAGCACTTTGAGGAGAAGGGCCTTAGTCTAGGGAGGTGACCAAGAAGTCCCAATGGTCACTATGTCAGATCTCCAGTGCTTCTCTGTGGCGAGAGGAGAATCTTCCAGAAGGACAACCTACAGCACTCCCACTAATCTGACCTTTGTGCTAGAGTGGCCAGACAAAAGCCATGGCAAATGGCACATGGTAGCCTGCCAGGAGTTTGCCAAACGGCACCCGAAGGACTCTCAGGCCGTGAGAAAGATAATACTCTAGTCTAAAAAGAAAAAAAAAAAATAATCCTAACTCATTGCCGTGAATGACAGGTGTCACGTTTGGAGGAAACCACGCACGGATTATCACCTGACCAATACCATCCCTGCAATGAAGCATGGTCATGGCAGTATCATGAAGTATGGATGATTTTCAACGGTAGGAACTGGGAAACTAGTTGAAAGAAGAATGAAGCAAGGTACAGAGAAATCCTAGATAAAAACCTTCTCCAGAGTGGTCAGGACCTCAAATTGGGGGCGACTGCTTACCCTCCACCAGGACCCAAAGCTCACAGACAACAAAGGAGTGGCTTCGGGACAACTCTGTGAATGTCCTTGAGTGGCCCAACCAGAGCCCAGACTTAAATCCAATTGAACATCTCTGGAGAGATATGAAAACGACTGTGCACTGACGCTCCCCATCCAACCTGATGGACTTTGAGATGTGCTGCAAGGAGGAATACGCAAAACTGCCCAAAGATAGGTGTGGCATCATATCCAAAAAGACTCAAGGTTGTCATTACTTCCAAAGTTGCATAAATGAAGTACTGAGCTTAGGCTGTGACTACATCTGGACATATGATGTCTTAGTTTTTATATTAAATACACTTGCAAATATTTCAAACTTTTAAACATTGGCATTATGGGGTATTGTGTGTAGAATTTTGACGGGAAAAAAATGAATGTACTCAATTTTGGGATGAGGCTCTAACATGAAATGCGTAGCACTGTGAAGACTTCTCAAATGCACCGTAGGTACTTGGACTGTTATTGCAGTCCAGTGTAATGCATAATTTCTAGGTTTTAGAGGACACTCACCAGGGATTTGCCGACCCAGTCATATTCATAGTCAAAGACGTAGCCGTTTCTGTCAAACAGATCAGTGAAGAGCTTCCGCAAGTAGTCGTAGTCAGGCTTCTCAAAGAAGTCCAGCCTTCTCACATATCGCAGGTAGGTGGCCATCTCTTCTGTATCGAAAACGGCGTTAGCATCAAAAGCGATGGTTCAAAGTAGAATGATATTAATATGCTCCAATCGACGGATTCCACTCACCAGGGAAGCTTTCACAAAGCACTTCTATTGGGGTCGCTCGTTTGGTGTCACCAATTTTTTGATACCTCTCCTTCAAAGTTTCCGCCTAAAAAAAGAAAAAGAAAAGATGCATCATTATCAAGCTGAAATTTGGTCTGGCCCAAAACTGAAGACAGTGTGAACAAATAGATGGCACATTCAAATTTCTGTACACTGGATTCTTTGCAAGTTATTTCATTCTGTGTTCTTTTGTCCTACCATTGACAGACAAAAACTTGGCAACTACAGTATATAAAAATGCTGTTTTTTTAAAAGACTCTTTTTTTTTTTTTTAAACAATATTGTCTTAATGTTGAATGCAACATTAAATTGGAGAACAAGAACAACACAAGACATTTAGCATTTCAAATGTCAATGAACATTCATATTTGCATTAGCAAGATAAGTGGTTGTTGCGAGTCATCAATAGTTTGTGATAATGGGTGAAAAATTAAGTACAGTACGGTAAAGGGACAGAGCCCTAAAACTAATTGCTAAAGCCGAGTAATTAATATTGCCCTTAAATTATTTATAAATGCTCAAATGAACTCTTTCAAGCTGAAAAAAAAAACAAAAACTAAAATGCCAAAAAACTTAAAATATAATTTCAAACTCATCTTGCAAGATATTCCTCAAAAATATTTATAAAAGGACAGATGAAAGAATTTAAAAAAAACATGCACAGGAGTGCACAAGAACATGCACTTTCCATAAACTTCTATAACAACCCAGGCTAAACTCCTCCCTGCATACAAATATGTTAGTGTCTCAGTCGAGTCGAGATGTAATGTATCATTTCAACATACTTCCTTGACAACAATTACTACTTTCCTATAAGCCAGGGCTTTGACGTCATCTTGTGGGTTCTTAAGAGCATTATAGAAAAAGCACAAAAACCACAAATAGATGTTTTTCCGGCAAGTAGCACAGCACAGATTCTAGGGAAAAACAACACAACAGGTGATTTTTGAATAGTCAACTATGCATAGGCTAACATGTATCTCTAGCTAACCATCTTTTTGCCTTGTCAATTAATATTTTAAAAGGAATAATAAACAAATAATATAAAATTTATATTCTTGATATTCAAAGTTAACATTGTGAATCGGCAAATCTCAAAAAGACTTTCTGTTGGGGCAAAAAAAAAGAGGACCATTCCTTCAATGCAGTGCAACTACAACCCTCAAATAGCTGTAGCATATTAATGTTGCAGCTAATATTTTACAAGGAGTTCTTCTACATGGCGGGTCACATGGTTGTCGGTTGTCGTGATCCACATGTAAACTATGTAATAAGGGGAATCAGAGGAAATAAAATATAAAGAAAATGGAAAACTCGCGACACGACCCATAAAAATGCCAGGGGTATGTTTCTAATAAGAAATCAAAATGAAGAGATTGGGTTTCTTTTGTAGAAATAATTTTTTGCGAATCATACGTCAATTGTGACCAAGGCCAATTGAGTGTGTTGACATTGTGAATTCCAGTACTGGTCACTCTACCCTGTCAGTGTATTTTATGGTTGCTGCCATGTTACATATTGATGACAATTTGGCTTGGCCAAGCCATGCAACCTCCCCCACAATCATCCATCCCTCACATTCATCAACAACAGGCTTCCTCCCACATAACAAATGCTCAGATGTCTCACTCTGCTCTTATAATTTGCAAGAGAGACAGTCTGGATCATACCTGGTGAGAAATCCATCATTAGACAACGATTTCTGAGTAGATTCTTGTTATCATTTGCTCTGACAAGAACCAGCCTACAATTCAAGTCAACTTCCTCTAAAGTCATTTTTACGATTCAAGGCATAAAAAAAAGCATCCAACAAGTGAAATTTGAGGCTGACACTGAGACTTTGTTGTCCATTCTTTGGTTTGACGCCAAAAATACAACACAAGAATAGACCTTGAATTCATTCCCATATGAGAGGATGGAGTTATTTTCCCAAGGTCATCTAGATAAACAATGCAAGAGACTGCACTTGGGAGTGCAGAAAAGGTAAAATCAAAGCAAAACACAGCTGACGACACTCATGTGTATTGGAAACAATGCAGTACTATACCTTTAAGCCCTGCCAAGGGAGGCTACCTCGAAGGAAGTACATAAACATGTGACCCAAGGCCTCCAAATCGTCCCGCCTACTTTGCTCTGAAAATGACAAACAACAAAATGGTGTACCACAAAGCAATAGTTTTTCATTCACCAATGACAGTGGGTGCCCGGGTGCCGATGAGCAATCCATCAGATTAAGAGGAGAACGAGTCAGTTAAATCTACGACTGGAGTGAGTACTGAGGAAAAACCTCAGGTTTTTTTTTCTAACTCATGATACATCTTTTGACCGGTACAACTTCAGAGCAACATATAGCCAGAAAAATACGCTTATCTCAACATTTAATTTAAAAAGGACTAAGTTACGGTCCAAAACAAATTCATGGATAGTTTAATGAACATATACAGCACATGTGGAAAAGAGAATCAAGATGATATTCTCACTCACCTTTTCCCAGGTGTGTGTTGATGCTCATGTAGCGTGCTGTTCCAGTCAGACTCTTGTGCTCCCGGTACGGGATGTGTTTTTTGGTCTCAGGGTCTATGTACTCTTTGGCCAGACCAAAATCGATGATGTGAATGGTGTGCTGTCTTTTGCTTCCTGGTCGCCCAACTAAGAAGTTTTCCGGCTTCACATCTCTGTATATCAGACTCTTTGTGTGGACATACTCCATCCGCGTAATCTAGACGAGATGACAATAGGGGAGTCAGGGTTTTAGAAATGTCTGAATCACTGAGTTTCCCTGTTGTTTTACAATACTGATGCTTGTCTAGGGACTAATTTCACAATACCTTTTTCAAGTTCCCAGACTAGAATCACTTGATATTTGACATGGGTCATCCTTCATATGAATTATTTAAAGGTGTCATCTCATCAATAAAGCATTTTTATGGTATTATGACATACACATGTAGACAAAATTGTTGGTTACCCTCTCTTAATTAAAAAAAAAAATACAAATACAAATACGTAGAAAATTAACCAGGGTAGTATGGTGGTCAACTGGTTAGCACGTCCACCTCACAGTGCAGAGGTGCACGGTTCGATTACAGGAACCGGTCTTCCTGTGTGGAGTTTGCATGTTCTCCCCGTGCTTGGGTGAGTTTTCTCCAGGTATTCCGGTTTCCTCCCACATTCCAAAAACATGCACTGTTAACTTAATTGAATACTATAAATTGTCCCCAGATGTGATTAATTGAACACCATAAATTGTCCCCAGATGTGATTGTGAAATGGTTATTTGTCTATGTGTGCCCTGTAATTGACTGGCAACCAGTTCAGGGTGTACCCCACCAACTGCCTGAAGACAGCTGAGTTAGGCTCCAGCACGCCTGTGACCCTCAAGAGAATAAGCGGATTAGAAAATGGATGGATGGATGGATGGATGGATGGATGAAAATTCACCAATGAAAATCATACAGGCTTTGATCAGGCCTTTAAATTGTGGTTCAAAAAGCAGCCTAGAAAAAAATGATGGTACCCTTGACTTAATATTTTGTTGCACAACCTTTTGAGCGAATTACTGTAGCCATGAAAGATTTTAAATCACATTTAAAATCAACCCAAAGAGATGATGTAGAAAATGCCAAACACAAAACGAAGGACACTTTCGATGTAGTTCTAGTTAGTCTTTGTTAGTTTTGTAAAAGTAATATGTCGTTTCAGTAATTTTTTTCATTTTAAAGCAATTTTGATTTATTTAGCTAATAAAAACATTTTTTTCAATTTTAGTTTGAGTTATTTTGTCAGTTTTTGTTCAATAAAATATCCCTGGTGTGTAGGTGTAGTTTAGCCCGTATAGTAAAACATTTGCTTAGTGATGGTAACATGCATAGTCTCCTATAAAAAACACAATTCATGTTCTGAATGAACACAATTCACAAATGCACACTCAAATCTGTTGACGTTAACTTTCAGCCTCACCAGTTGTATGGCTATCATCAGGACGGTCTTGAGGGAGAAGGTGCGGTCACAAAGATCAAACAGGTCCTCTAGACTGGGCCCAAGCAGCTCCAACACCATAGCATTGTATTTCCCGCAAGGACCAAAGTAGTACACCTGTGGAATTCCCTCTGTGGGAGAATGCACAAATAATGCATTTCATTTTAAATTCGCCTTCCTTGACCAGTATTGAAATGACAATTGATTTTTTTTTAAAATTTTTATGACAATTGATTTTTTTTTTTAATGGACAGCATTCAAATTCACAATCTATCTTTTTTATGACAATTGATTTTTTTTTTTTAATTTTTAATGGACAGCATTCAAATTCACAATCTATCTGGTGTCATTTATATAAAAAAAAACAACAACAACAAAAAAAGAAACAAATATCCCACTTTACACCATCAACTTCAATTTGATAAAAGATGATAAGAAAATATTTGTCCTGTTGTCCTGTGTGGATGGAATGACCAATTTGCACCTCTGCATATTTCCTGACAAGAAAAAGTACGACTCCAGCAATAAGAAAACGTTTGTTTGCTTCCTTCAACAGGTCTATCGGGAAAAGGAGTGGCTGACTTCTCTGAAGTGGGAATAAAGACAAAGCGTAAAGGTCAAGAGCGTAACACTATCTGAACCTCTGATATATTTACAGTTCTGCATGACACCACCACACCCCATTTTGTTGTGAGGTGTAAGATACTAACATCACCACAATCCACTCAAAGCTACAGTAGATTGCTTTTAAAAATTAAGTCAAAACATCAGTGAAAACCCTCAGCAGAGTCAAGGTCTACAGGAGTGTGGGTCACTTGAGCATCAACATAACACCCATCTGACAAAATCCACAAATCATGAGATTTTGCAGAAATGATTAACCAACATACGTGATGTATGAGTTACAGTATGACTGCCAATCCGCGTTTCCAGCAAATGCTGCGGTTCAGTTAAATTTTGTTTAGCGGAACACACAATTTTTGGGTGTAAATACAATATTGTGAGAAAATGTAAGGGGTACAAATCACTGATCTGCACCTTTTTTGTTGGGGCTGCTGCAAGGGTACCAACTGCAGTGGTACAGTACAAAGATACACAATTTCCTGTTGATTGGTCACCAGAGAATGTCAGATTTTGTGGAACAACTTGAGGGGAACTTGTAGTTGTTTTTGTTGAAACCTTTCTCTCCCTTTTTTTTTTTTAATGTATAAGCGGGTTACACTGTGCTGGTATAATGTCATTGTATTTACGTTTTTGAAGCAGTTGTTGACATGACAGATTGGGTTTTTCCAGGACAAGATGAACTGGACTGAGACACTGTGGAAATCAATCTCAACGCAATGTGAGAAGCATATACTGGAAGACAGATATAAAAATAGTTGGTGTTGGATAAAGCCACCATCATCACTATCACAGATGATAAGGATGTCGTCCCCACATCGCTGATTTTCAGCAGAGAAAAAAAACTAAAAGGATTTCTATTGCTTTAATAAAAGAATGAAGCCCGAGCATTGCAGTAAACATACACTGTGATGGAGAAGTAACAATAAATCTCAATCTCTTAAGCGGCACTTGAGCATTCACACAGAAACTGTGTTGTTCGCCACATCTTGCCACAACTTCTGCTTGAAGAATTTAAATAGAATTTACACACAAAAACAAATCCCCATTACTCCTGCACTTAAGTCTGTAAGATTTTCCAAGTAACGAAGCCCATGACACAAGAGGTTAATGGAAAGCATGGCCATCACAAAAGGAAAATGAGTGAATGAACACTGAGCTGGTGAATGTGAGCAGCTAAATGGTTGTGTGTGCCGCAATCACTTTTTAAAATGCATCGTGTCATAAAAGTAATAGGGAAAAGGTTTCTCCGCCTTATCAAGATTTCATGAAGAGTAAAATAAACAGCAGTGCAATTCTCCCATGTGCTACACTTCAACAGTACACACGTTTATCTCTTTTGAGTTGTGAAGAACAGGCTGGGTTTCGAGCCAAACCAATCGTCAGTGGTGCTCTGCCCCTGTTACCATAATTGGAGACAATTCCACCTATTGTATCTACTGCAGGCCTTATCAAGCTGCATCACGGCAGCTGAAGACAATGTTGCTGCACAGTGAAATGTCAGAGTTGAGGGTCAGAGATGAGAGCGATTGGGAATAGGGGAGATGGCCAGGGAGAAGAGCTGAAGGGAGTGAATGCATATTAAACATTTAGACTATGAAGAGAGGAAGAGGACGAAGATAAGTGACTTCCATTAGCCCAAATGCTCAGGAGATGTCCTCCCGAGATTGAAATAAGATCAATGGCATGTCTTGTTCAGGCTGAGGCGAGACTGACAAAATGAAAGATACACAAGAATGCTATTTTCATCTTTTAAACTGATATTGCTAATTTGAGAAAAGGTAACGTTTATATTTTATCTGTCTGACAACACACCGTCTTTATCCATGAATGCAAGCCAGCCACAAGAACAGTAAATGAAGATACTGTAACATCATTCGAGACAAACTCAATACAGAGACCTTTCATTTAGGAGAGACATTGAGATAAATGCTTCGAAGATGGCATCATTTTCCATCCAAAAATTCATGCCGTGGTACCAACACTGAGAGATGACCTCTAAGGCTCTGATCATAGCAGGAACAATTGTTACTGAATCATCAGGGCTGTGTCACTGGCTCTTCATATTCCAGGAAAAAGCGGAATTTTCCAGTGGTCCTTGGAGGTTAACAGAGTGGCAGGTACCCTCCACAAAAGTATGTACAATAAGTAAGTCTACACGAATGACCAAAAGGCGATAGAGGCCAAAGCTGCAGACAGACGTCAACGAGCCAGCTTACGCAAGCTTGTAAACAATGACGACCACAAAAGAGGAAAGAGAGAGGGCACCTGCCCTGAGAAAGAGAAATAATTTGAAAAAGAAAGGTTGAATATTCGGCAGAGCATGTTGTAAACATGTTGACAAATTGAACGGCCTTTAAAAAGAGTGACAAGGTAATAAAATATTTACTTCCTCTGTAAAACCTAGTATAAACGGTAACCAATTCATTCATTTTAAACATTAACACATCCAAAAATGACTTCCAGCTCCTAGACATTCAAGAATTTCCCTTGAGATTAATTAAGTACCCACCTGCCTTAATTATCAAATACTCAAATACACACGTTCAGTATGAATTCACATAATTTGCATTGGCATGCAATAGAAATTTGAGATGAAAAATGTTTGCCATGGAAAACCAACAATCTTTACCGTATTTTTCAGCCCATATAGCGCACCAAAGAAACCCAGCCGCTGGGGGGCAGTGCCCTCCCCTGGGGGTGCACTGTTCCCCAGTGCCGGTCCCAAGCCCGGAGAAATGGGGAGGGTTGCGTCAGGAATGGCATCCGGCGTAAAACTTTTGCCAAGACGACCATGCGATTTGGTAGGACGGTTTACAGGGGCGGATGGAAATTACTGACTCGCTGTGGCGACCCCTGAATAGGGACGTGCCGAAAGGAGAAGAAGAAGAAGATAGCGCACCAAAGAAACAAATGATGGCAAGTTTTACTTGACGACCTAGCGCAGAAAGAATCCGTGCGACATTTTGTTGATTTAGCTCGAGACATCTGACACATAGTCACATAAAACATTTTTGTTGCACTTTAAATTTATATCCTGTTTACACTGCAGTAGAAATTGCAGCTGGAGCTTATCCACATCCTTAAATCACCGTTTTAGATTGAAAAGTGTCCAATTTGCTTAATTTATTTATTTGGCCCATTTGCTTTATTTATTTATTTGGCCTTTTGTCCCATTTAATGGCCAGGAAGAAGGGAAAATGTGTCTTGACCAAAGACAGTCAAACTTAAGGCTAGTATAGTGTTGACACAGTCCATCCAGATGTATTGCAACGGCAAGGTCAATTCCATCATTTTTTGTTTTCGACAGAAAACATTTGCGTTTCAGATCAAAAGGTAATTACGAGAGTAAAGTTCAGAATTCCAGCTTTTACTTCATGATATTTACATCAAGATGTGTTAAACAACCCAGGACAGCACGCATATTGTTTGAACCCACCCACTTTTCAAGTGATCAAACATATTGGAACATGTGACTGATGGATGCTTGTAATTGCTCAGGTGTTGCCTTTTATACCGATTGCTTAAACATGACTTGTTTTTGGCTTCGGTTTTCACCTCTGAAAACTGATATTTTCTGTTAAGCAAACATGAGAAGACCAGACAGCAATCTCTGGGGGAAAAGCAAACCATTCTAAGTTGAGAGAAGGGGGAACATTGATCAGAGCTATTGCACAAACTTTGGGCATAGCCAATGCAATTTGGAATGTTGCGAAAAAGAAAGACACCACTGGTGTCCTGAGCAACAGACATCGAGCATGTCGGCCAAGGGTATCAACAGCAGTTAATGACAGAAACATTGTGAGAGCTGTGAAGAAACACTCCAAGCCAACAGCAAGTGACATTATTGCCAACCTCTACAGGGCAAGGGTGAAGGTATCACAATCCACTGTTTGAGAGAAGCAATATGCAGGCCATCCCACAAGATGCAAACCATTTATCAGCAAAAAGAATCGAAAGGACTGACTGCATTTTGCAAAGAAGTACAGAAGTGAGCCACAAAGGTAACTGATGAGGCTGATGAGAACAAGATGAACCGCTACCGACGTGATGAACTAGCCAAAGTATGGAGAAAGAAAGGATCTGCTCATGATCCAAAACACACAAGCTCAACTGTAAAGCATGGTGGAGGTCATGTTATGATTTGGGCTTGCATGGCTTCTTCTGGAACGGGTTCACTCGTCTTTTATGATGGTAGTAGCATTTTGTCTGGCAATTTATCAAAAAATGCAACCAAATTAATCTTGAGAAGCTTCATCAAGGCAATGATCCAACACACACAATAAAGGACTTGATCCGGGGGGGAAGGTAAGTGGAAGGCATTAGACTGACCAAGTTAATCATTGGACCATAACCCAATAGAGCATGCATTTCACCTCCTGAAGAGGACACTGAAGAGGGAAACCCCCAGAAACAAACAAGAACTGAAAGAGTCTGCAGTAGAGGCCTGTATAGTCATTCCACTCTGCTGAGCTGGAGATAGCATCAATCATTTAAAATTAAAAAAAAACTGTTGAGAACTACAACACGGGCCAGAATCCGAGTGTCCAGTCCAAACCTAAAACAGCCAAATGCACAAGTACCGATACCTTGAGACAAGGTACCGGCCCGACACCTGGCATCGGTACTCATCCATACCTACTAAATACATAAAAGCTGGACTTTTGAACATTTGTCTCATATACATCTTTTGATCTAAAAACTAAATGTCTTCAGTACACAACAAAAACAATGGAATTGACCATGCCATTCCCCACATTTTGGAAGGGACCGTACTCAATCAGAAACACTACTGCAGCATCAAAGCTAGAGTTCTTGAGGCCTCTTATGGCATATCCAGTCATCTGTTTCTTTCATAAAAGACCACAACTAACAACCACTAAACGACAGAGGAAAAAGCCATAACTCTATGTGTGGGTATTAATCATGTTGTTGTACTCAATCAGAAACACTACTGCAGCATCAAAGCCAGAGTTCTTGAGGCCTCCTATGGCATATCCAGTCATCTGTTTTTTTCATAAAAGACCACAACTAACAACCACTAAACGACAGAGGAAAAAGCCATAACTCTATGTGTGGGTATTAATCATGTTGTATCTTAATATAATCCATGACGATACGAGTCAAAGAGCAGACCCAAGGAAAAGTGGGACATGCATTATAATGAGCATTGCATAATTGAGTTTCCCCTGTAATCTATGCTGGCGGCACAATCAGGAAAACAGAGGATACCGACTGAGGAAGTCATCGGTGTAAACACGCCATAATGGCCTACACAGTTTGTAGACGGCCATCTATAAATAGTGAAGGACTGCCCATGTGCCCCACCCCCTTTCTGAACTTTTGCTCCGGTACAAGGACCAAGGAAACTGGCACATGTCAATAAATACGACCCAAAAAACACTTGTCAAGGTCACTGAGGGGTTGGCTGATAAAAAAGTAAAAGCTAATACAAACAGTGTTGCAGGCCAACATATGGCATATCCGGCATTTTTTTTTCTTACCTGAATTTCCCAACTGTTTGTAAAATCTATACTCCAAATGGAGCTGCGGTGCCCTGGATTTAATAGGCTCCTGCAAGGAAAAAAAATAAACTGTGAGTGAAACATGGCGGAGCATAACAACAACAACAAAAAAATCTATTTGAATTAAAACAAGAAATAAATATTTGCAACAAGATATGTGACTGACAAGCATAACTTAAGGCACATGTGTCAAAGTCAAGGCCCGGGGGCCAGATCTGGCCCGCCACATCATTTTATGTGGCCCGCGAAAGCAATTCAAGCATGTCAACTTCCAAGATGCTTACTGAAGTCTGAATCAAAATTTCAAATTGTCATACATAATGTAATAATTAAAATGTTTGAACAATCCATTATTCTTGACTTCTGATGTCAAAACTAGTTATCCATCTATTTGTTGTTCGCTGTGTATGTAATATGTGGAGGTGGTTAAACATTTATATGGTTTCACAAAATTCACATTTATAACGGCCCTCCAAGGGAAGCCGTAACTACAATGTGACCTGAGTCAAAAAATGAGTTTGACACCATGACTTAAGGAAAAGCGTTTTACATGTTCTAATCGCTAAAAATTGCTTTTGAGTTTGAAGTTGTCATCATGAGAGGATAAAGAGCAGCTCAAGCTGGTGAACAGCGGGTTTTTGTGATTGCTTGGCTCACAAACAAAACACCAGCACATATTGTCTTTCGTTAGCTGCAGCTTTACAACTTAAAAAGGTAATCTGATTAACCCCATCAAGCAAGATGACAAGGCTATTATAGACAAGCACGAGTGACAGAACAAACATACTCACATTAACTCATTTTTTACGACTTTACTAGCTATGCCACAGTTGCGGTACCCAACATACGGTACAGACATTACATGGTATAAAATATTTAAATAAGAAATATACTGTAATTTTATAAGTATTCTTGGACAAGGAAGCATAATTGGTGACTTATGTACTTTTTCTAATTATTATTATTAATAACAATGATTATAATTATTATTGTTGTTAATCTTATAATTAATTCTAATTACAATATTTTTGCTATTCTGTAAGACAGCAGAATAAAGACAAATTGTGGCAAACAAAACCTAGTAAATCCACATAAACTACAGTAAATATCCGTTCACCGCAGGGGATGCGTTCCAATCCAGAGCCACCTGCGATAGGTGAAAACCCACAAAACAGAGAGACCAGAAAAATTGATAAAATATATAGTTTTACCCCTCTCACACAATTTAAACAATTGAAAGTATTAAACCACACTTTACAAACATATTTTAGCAAAAAATAGAAAGTATGGAAAATACTGCGCGTGTTGCAGTATCCGTGTGTTCGAAACGTGCTTATAAGAGACAGGCCTGGTTGGGTGGCACATGACATCGGCGAGCTGGAGGGAGGTTGTCGATTCGCTCAAGCTACAATGTGCAATGTGCGAGTGTCTGGGTGTGTTCTGTGGCCCATAGCAGCTTGTTGGTGAGTGGCTTGAAAACTTGTCAACTGTGGCTCTCCTTTCCAACATGCTAGGGCATTACAGTAAATAAGTACTGTATGTGGTATGTTTCGGACTGACGATAGATCCCACTTTTTTTCCACAGTTTGGCTGGTCCCGCAACATACTCAGGTGCAACTTTTGCATTTTAAAATTAGAACTCGGACTGGCACCCAAAATCCCCTGTTCCTTAATTGTGTTGATTTTCTTTTAGCGGTTGGCAAAAGCAATCCCCTCCAAAAGTATTGGACCGGTAAGGTCATTTCATTTTGATTTGTGTTGTATACTAAAGACATTTGGGTTTCAGGTCAATTTATACCATAATATGAATGTCATGTTTGTATGTTATGTATAAATGTTAACTGTTCTGTATAGCGCTTTGTTACAGCTGAAGCTGTTGTGAAAGCGGTATATAAATAAATATGATGGTGGTGCGGGTACCCACAGCGGCTCCTCTCTCCCTGCATTTCAGTGTCTTTCACTGCATGTTTGCACTGTGGTTGAGAGGAAAGAAATTTCATCTGTGTTGTATGTTGCACATAGAGCATATTTGACAATAAAGCTGACTTGACTTGAAAATAAGGCCACATCACTCAGCCTGTATTGCCATGACGCATGATTGCAATGAAAAAAACTAAATCGTAAGTTGAATCAAAAATCACAATATTTTTCTGAGAAATCGTAGTTCAATCTTTTCCTGAAATCCTTCAGCCCTTCCATACACACATTCTACACTACAGTAACTGTATACGTGTTTACGTGGAGTCTTTTCTGTCATTACAATTGAAATCATTCTGGCGGAAGATCTCTGGTGTTTACATACAGTATAATGTGATCTATTTTGTTCCGCCAATTACACACGGCACTACACGAATGAAAACAAGCCACGTGACAAGCGCAGATAGATGTAAACATTTATCAAGATGGAATTCAGTCGCCTATTTCGCACAGTAGTTGCAATTACTTTTACGATTTGATTTAAAAATTTAAAACAAGTTACACGAAGTTTAAAATGTTTTTTTGTATACTGTATGGCAGCTGTTAAGTACCAGCTTCATTATGCTACTGCACCGACAAATCTTTACACACAGTAGACAGCATGAATACTTTAGGGATGACTGCAAGTTGTTAATACACGTTTGTTTCTTCTCTTTTGACAAACAAGGCCTCTTGTTCTGCAGACAAATGATTAAGAAATGTCTTCCTAAAAGAATAAAGTATTAGTTTGCTTGTGTGAAGCACAGTGAGTTGTCATATGTATGAAATGTGCTGTATGAATAAAACTGCTTTGCCTTGACATGAACATATTTTTACAAATGTATTTCTGATTTCATGGAAATTGAAGAAAAACTGAAGGCTGTTAAGCTCTGACTGATTTCGTTATGCCCTTATCAAATCAGGAACATTTTCTCTTATTTTGCCTTGCCAACATCAGCATACCAAGTAAGCCTTGCTCGAAGCAGTTAAGAATGAGTGTTTGCTCCTGCCTGTTCAAACTGTTTCCCCAATTTGTATTTTAGGTGTACGTCAAATAAATATTTCAATCTAATATCTGAAACATAAAAAACACAAACACACAAACTCCTGGGGAAAAACTGAAATCAACAAAATTAGTGGTTGGTCTGATAGACATCACACTGGCTCCCACATAGGCTTTTTGTCCATGCATAAGAGTCCCAAAAGGGACAACAGAAACTGTGAGCAGAGCACGCAGAATGAGTAATGCAGAAAAGTGCAAGGCTATGGGCTGAAAACGTGACGAGCCTGAGAGGCAAACCAAGCAACTGCTCTGCTCGTGTGAACACCCCCTCCCCTACCACCACCCATGAACATTGACAACAAATATATAAATGATGGGTCAAACCAGATGGCACTACACTGCAGAACCATTTAAAACAGCTTACAATAGGAAACAGAGGCTTATGGCAGCTTTATGTAGCCTACTTAAGAGTCATCTCTATTTCCAGCAGATGGACTAAGCTATGGCTGTGTAAATGACCAGAGCCAAGCTGTGAAGGTCTGATGTAACAACTTTGCATTTGACATGGATTTTTCTCAGCACTTGTAAATATCACATTTGTGATCTGATCGCAGGATGAAAGGAAATGAAATGAGGGCCTTGCTCTGACATAGCAGAGATACACAAGTGATTTGAAGACAAATGGAACTGGGTTGTCATGTAACCTTGATCCCTCTTTTAAAAAAATAAATAACGGTGAGTAGCATTGGTGCTAGTATATGCTCATAAGTACACAAGTGACCCATCCAGGAACTTGTGTCACCAGCTCAACCACTTTTCTCTATGTATGACATTAACACTACTAAAGTCAATGTAAAATCCCATTGACATACTCACAGAAAAGTAGCATTGACGTTGGGATTGACTTCAAATCACCAATATTCATACACAGATGTTGAAACTCACATACCGACAGGTAATAACAATACTCAAAGCAACATTTTCTTCCTTGAATTTTCACTGATTCAAGGAATTTTACTTACCTCAAAATTCACTATCCAAGGGACAACTGATATGGGACCTGAGGAGCCAGGTGAGCCCAAAGCTTCCTCGTGTAGCGTTCATTGTGAGCAGACGTGTTTGTTGTGATTTACGCAACTCTGACTGTTTTTATGTATTTTCTGCATAGTGTATTAGCCCCTAATCAGGGGCTGATAAAATAGTTTCGGATTTCGAACAAATCCCTTTTCGAACAGCCTTCTGGAACGGATTATGGTCAAAAACCGAGGTATGACTGTAATTACCTTTTGAAATCTATGAATAATTGTTTTTATTAATCATGATTTCAATATCCATCCAAAATATATTTTTTTCTGTAATTACATTATCACCCAACACCACATCGTAGCATATCTTGGCAAATAAATATGCCCCCTGGGATTTGTGACCAGAATATGGTGAAATCAATAACTGGATGCTTAGAAATTTTCTGGCAATGCCACATCACCATTCCCACAAAAATATGTTTTGTTCACAAGAGATCGATAAGTTATGACTTACTTCAGTGCAAACACTAAAATTATGTGGTAATGATGTCAGAAACAAAGCATCCAAATTGCTCTGATGTCATCCCAATCTTTTACAAAGCCCAACTGGGCAGTTTTTTTTTTTTTTTTTGTGGCATGCCAAGAGACTGCTATGATATACATCAATTTATAAATCAACTAGAAATCCTTGAGATTTAGCTGATTCCTAAATGAATTGTAATCTGCATTGACTGACGCAATTTGATGGAATCTCCCTTTAACAAATCCTATACACTGTGCTTTGGTTACCCTATGGTGTGGTAATTAAGAGAGTGGTAGTTCACCATGAATGTTGGCCTGTGTCGACGACAGCTGACCAAAAGGCCAGAAGGGCCCTTCCCTGTCTGACCTGCTGCTGCACTAACCTCTCCACCTCAGCTGTTCCACACCACAGCATCTTCATTCAAACTACGTGTGTGTTTTTGGCGTGACGACTTCCACTGAAACACCAGCATGTTTTGGCTCTATGATACGCCTGAGGAATCATGGGACATAGGCAGATTCCAGTTGGACGGATGGATGACA